CTGTCTTCAAGTGCATGTAAAAAAGATGATACAACATGCTTTTCATTCATGATATCCATGCATCGCTCATATACATAATTAAAACAATGCTGTTCATTGATCTAGAAAAAAGAAATTTTTTAAAACTTGTTCAAAATGGATAAAAATGAACAAAATAAATTTTCACAAAAATCGAAAAATAAATAATTTAAATCCTATTTATGAAACAGTCATTCAGCCTTTTTTTAAAATGTTTTATCAAATTATGCATATTAATCTATTTATCTATAATGATCTATCAATTGAATGAAAAGTATATTAATTTTAGAAAAGCTTGAGCTAAATGTACATGGTAACTTTTCAAATTTATTTATGTTTTTGTTGTTTAATATGTGTTGTTATTCTTTTTATTTTTTAATCCTTAGACTTTTGTTTTGTGTTCTGAGGTTTGATATTTAACTAAAAAAAAACTTAATTCATAATTTTTCAATATATAAATATTAAATATTTCCATGCTTTTAGAAGAGTATATTTAAGTTAATTGTGCTTTTTGTTATTTTATAATAATAGATGTTTATTTATTACTTTACCAATTTTATGTTTGTTTATTTTATATAGTTAATGGAATTGCTTATTTTTAAATGAAACTTTATATTTACGGAATTTATCAAGGGGTTTGACGATAAGACATATTAGTCTTCTTCTCACTACATGTATATCTTGTTAGTAACATACAGATTATATATATTTACACTGTAAAAAAAAAAAAAAAAATTTATATAAAAAAGCTTTAATATTTGTTAGTAAAAATTTGTATAAGAAAAAAAATTTAAATATAGATATAATAAATGCTTAAAATTAAAAGTGTTAAAGAAAAATAATGTAAAACTTTTTAATACAAATTAGTGAAAATAAAACTTTCTACAAAAAATATACAAACATACAGTAGATGAACTTGTTGATATTTCCATGTCATCATTGTCATTACTTGAATCGCTATCACTGTCATCTTTGACCAAAATTTCATCTTTTATTTAAATAAAAAATATATAACTAGAAAATTAGCAGAAAACATTCCTGAAATTTCTATCACAATCTTTTTTAATTAAATGAGAAAAAACACACAAAGGAATTTAATTTATTTTAAATACAAAACTCAATTTACATTTCTATTAGAAGAAAAATAATCTATTATGAAATAGAATTAACATGGTCAACTTTTTATAAATTTATTAAATGAAGTTTGATATACTTCAATCAAAATCAACATACAATGCATGTTGTCAACCAAACCTGAAGCACAATTTTTGTTAGAAACCTAAAAGCATATTTTGAATGAATCATGATTTAGTAACAAGACAAGGGTTAATTTTGCGCTGAAAATTATCATCATTATCATCATCATTGGTTTCAAATTATTTTACTTCTTTAATACTATCTTAAAAATCTTTAATTCCAAGGACCCCATGTTGTCCAACATTTTCTTATATGTTTTTCCCCATTATTTCCTTCATTTTTATGTTTTTCCCCATTATTTCATTCATCTACTTTTTCTTTAAAAAAAGAAATAATTATAAAAATTATCTGTATCTAAATTTTTTAGGTAAAAACAATCCTACTTTCACTGGTGAATCCAACATGATATTCAACTATTCCTAACCTCTATCTAAGATCACAACTTTAATCCTGTCCTTTAAATTAACACCAAATATCTATCCCAACATCTTGTTAATTTTTTCTGGACACTGCATATTTTTCATACTTTTGCAACCTATGATTTACTGCTTTACATCAAAGCAAATTGGATATATGTTCTAAAAAGTTTTCTTTTAATCTTTAACAATGCACATCTTATTGTTGAAAAAGGAATTCTCTAAGGATATTACACAGGGTATTGAACTCAATTATTACCTTCTCTGGCTCACTTTCCGATTTAATCAATTTCCTGTATAAAATATAAACTATGAAAAATATGAAAATAGAAATTAAAATCAAGATTAAGAATAGCAAATTGTAAAATTTTTATGTACTATAGATGATTGCCCGTCATACTATTCATATAGTAACTTTTATGTACTGTTAATGAGTGTCGATCATACTATTCATATAGTAACTTTTATGTACTATAGATGGGTGTCCAACAGTGCTTGATCATTTATTTCACATCTCAACTTTGTTTTAAAAATTCAAAAAAAACAATAATTTATAATTTCAAATTCTCTACAAATAATTTCTAGATTTTTTTCGAATTTTCTGGAGAAAATCCAAAAACAGTGAAAGTTTGAATTTTAAGTTTTCAAGATTACAATCATTAAATATTTTCGTTATTTGAAGATGAAAATATTTTGAAAAATTTTGAAACAAATTTCTATATTCACTTTTAAAGCAGTTAAAATTGAACACAAAATACCTTTTAGTCCAATGATGTAACCAATTTGAATTTTTTACTAGAATTTTAGGAAAAGACCAAATTTTGGCTAATGCCTTGGTTGATATAATACAATAGTAAAAAACTTGTATATCAGGCTTAAAGAATGCAGTAAAAGAATGCAGTTTAAAGAACACAGTAAAAGAATAATTGCCCTTGTATGCCAAATGTAAAATAACCATACAAAATTCAATTTATAAACAAATTGGATACATAGAGAAGTAAAGAGCATAAAATTCTTAACATTTGTTAAGCAGTTAGAAAGAAGTAGGGTAATCCTTATTATAATTTTTTTTTAATTAATAAAAATTGATAAAACACAACTTTGCTGGCTGTTTTAAAAATATATCATTACTTTTTACAACACAAATAGTAAAAAATAGCTTGAAATATGAAAAGATAAATGAAGCCTTTTTGATTTTTTTATATTCGCAAGTATAAAAACAATTTACTTTTGTTTTGAAAAATAATAAGCTTGTAGTATCTTTACCACAGCAATAATAACCTATAACAAACAAACTTATTAATTTTTATTTAAGCATTTTATTTAAACATTTTAGTGATGCTTTTATAAAATAAAAAAAGTATACAATAATATTCAATTGTTAACAAAACACAATAATTATTATCAAAACTAAGCACTGGCAAGGTTTGTTTAACTTCACCAATCAAAACTAAACAAAGTGGAATAGCGAATAGTATATAAATAATATTATTTGTTAAACGAATAGTACTTTTATAAAAAAAAGTTACAAATACAAAAATATTTTCAAAACTAAGCACTGCCAAACTTCGTTTAACTTCACTGATCCTCGTTTAACTCCATTGATCTTCGTTTAACTTCACTGATCAAAGTTAAATGAACTGGAATAGCGAATATTTGTTAAACTTTGTTTACAAAGTTTAACAAATTTTGTTAAACTTTGTTTACAAAGTTTAACAAATTTTGTTAAACTTTGTAAACAAAGAAAAATTTGTAAAAAAATTTGTTAAACTTTGTAAACTTTGTTTACAAAGTTTAACAAATATTCGTTAAACTTTGTTTATTATTTATTAAGCAAGTAATACTATTCATTAAACCGAAGTTTAATGAGTAGTATTACTTGCTTAACAAATAATACCATTTGTTAAACAAACAGTACTATTCTTTTAATAAAAAGTACACTATTTGTATATTACAAAGAGTATTATTCACTACTCAATATTACTATATACATCAAGCACTTACTTATAATAATTATCTCCTTGGGGAGGTTAAATTATTTAACACTAAAAAAAAATTTTTTACCTTTCTTACGACATAAATACTTGATCATCAACTTTATAGAACCAATAAAAGATGATAAATCTTTTGAATTTAAATTACCTAAATTTGAAAATCAACCAAATTTAAAATAATTTAGGTAACTACAATATGTTTACCAGAAAGTCAAAACCTTGTTTTGTTGAAAGTATTAAAAAATATATATAGTAAAATTATACTATTGTCTTTAAATATTAAATTTTATAAATGATTTGTCTGTATGTCCTTTATAAATGATTTGCCTGAATGTCCTTTATAAATGACTTGCTTTATTGTCTTATGTCAGCAAAAATGATATTATATGCAGACAATGCCGCCATATACTATAGTCATAAACATCTCAAGTCTATTTAAGAGTGTCTAATATCGGAATTAAACAGTATAGCAAAGTACTTTAATAGTAATGAACTAATAATTATTCTAAATGTGGAAAAAACAGAAGCAATGTTATTTGGATTTGCAAAAAAATGTAGCAAGAATGTACTTAGTTGAAGTTATGAATAATTAACTTTGTGAAATCATATAAATACCTAGGGTGTAAACTCTTTCTTTAACAAATCATTTTAAAGATATTTAACAAATCATTTTAAAGATATAGAAAAATGTGCATTTAAAATTGCTGTTTAAATTAAAGATCTTCTTTCCTGCAAAGGAAGCTCTCCAGAATTTTCGACAAATGATTGTTCAAATATTGACAATTTCAACATCAATCTTAATTTATTCAAATATTGACAATTTCAACATCAATCTTAATTTTACAGCAACACAAAGTCAAACTAAGTTCATTGATAGAAGAGCAAAAGATATAATTGGTAGCCATCACAATCTTAAGGAAATTGAGAAAATCATCAAAAGAGACTCATGCTTATTTGTAAAAAAGGGTTTAAATAATAATCTTTATGAAAATTGTACTAATCACTTGGATTAAACATTCATTAAACTAATAAATGTACCAGACAAAGAATATTGTTGAGACTTTCCAAAATAAAACTTGAGATGACAAGTCTATTTACTTTGCAAAAGCAAAACTCTTTGAGGAGTTAACTTCGAATATTAGAAATATGGCAGAACTAACATTACTTAAAAAAGAACTAAACAACCACTTTTTTTTTAAAGCCGCATTAACGTACACTTTATTAATTTAAATACTTTTTATACTTTTTGTTATTTTCAGATAATCATAATTTCTGTTTTAAGTTTTAGTTATTAAATACTGATATATACTGATAACACTGATAACAGATACTGACACATACTGATAACAGTTTTTATAACCGAAAGTGCATATCCTGTGTAAATATCATTTTAATAATAATTAATAATAATTGCACAATCGTTCAACTAGTTTGTATGAAACAAAATTGAACACCAACAGATAAACAACCAAAACCAGATAAAAAACCAAAATTGAACACCAACAGATAAACAAGATAGAACGAGTTAGATGTATTCATTTTAGTATAATATTTGTCAGAAACACAACCTATGTTCATTAAGGATATAGAATAAATTTATGGTGTACAATTACAGGTTGTCTGACATAAACACAACTTGTTTCAGTTGTGGTAACTATTTTCTCTTTGTGCCCAATTTTAATATTATGTTTCAAGATATGATAGTAATAGATATCTGCGTAAAACATAAAAAGAATCTACTTTTACATTTTTCAGTCATGACCATATCTCATTTTTTACATTTATGTTTTTAAACTTTATTTTATTTCTTAACACCTGGCTGCTCAAAATCTCGCTAATGATGTGATAACAAAATACAATAAATAAAAACAAAATACAAAAACAATAAATACAATAAAAACAAAATACAATAAAAACAAGTTTATATACATCAACTGACAAATTGTTTATATGAATTCATTAAAAAGCAATCAGAAAAATTATATGACAAAATAAATTACCTAGTTGGTATTCAAAAAACGTTAGATGTGCGTATAAACTCCATATACTAAAGGAAGAGCTGGAACTTGCCATGGCTTTTAAAAACAAATGATTAATTGGAAAACTTTTTCCAAGTGATGGAATCAAAAAATAACAAATCTGAGAAGTCATAGGTGGTGACAATAAGTCTTCGATAAGCGCAGAATAAAGTTTTCTGTAAAAATTATAAATTTTATTTTATTTATCAAAATTATTTGTTTACTTTATTTATATATTTCTTAATACTTTATTATTTGCATGCTTTATTTTCAATTAATGCATACATTATATTTTTTAAAAATAAATATAAAGATATACTTGTTAATATTTAAATAAAGCAAACTTTAAAAAGAGTGCAGAAATATTATAAGTATAACCCAATAAATCAATACTAAAGTATGCAATAATATATAAATATAACCCAATAATGATTTTTTATAAGATAATAAAATATTATGTCACTCTTTTTATTACTTATAAATTAGCATAATTATCATTAGTATTAGCATAATTATCATTAGTATTTGCATAATTATCATTAGTATTAGCAAAGTTGGGCAAATTCATGTGGCAGTGGTGTAGTGGTAGATCGCTTGCCTCATAAAAAAAAAAAAAGTGAATTAAAAAAATATATAACAACAACAACAACAAAAAAAAACAGAACAGAGAATTCTTATGACCTGGATCTCAATAACTGAATTTTTCTTCTTGAACTTTAGCTAGAATTTTGAGCCTTGATTTTTTAAAAGATTTATTTGAAATTTGTTCTGAATTAGAAAACAAAAAGTTGAAATTAAAAAATAAGTAAAATTTGTTTAAAAAACATTTGTAAAATCAAAAGAAAAAAAACAAAAAATTATAAGTTTTTTTTTTACTTTGAAACTTTTTTTTTGGTAAACTATTTTTTAAAAATTCTTTGTTAATAGTCTAAAAAAAATTTAGATTAAAAGTGTTAGTCTCCAAGTACAATATATTATAATAAAGAAAACATTTAAAGAAAAAAACTTTAATTTCTTTTTCTATGTGCTTAGAATGAACTTAGAGAATACAATTCTTTTAGATATAGTTAAATAAATATCTCAAAACTAACAATAAAAAAATGTGAAACTTATCTCGTTGTGCAAAATGAGTTAAAATATGATTGCTTTTAGGCAGAAGCCCGTCAAAATAAATGTGATCAAGATAATTCTAGAATACACTATAGTTATAGTTACATAGATTTTATTCTTCTGACAAAATCTCATTTGGTTTGGTCATTTAATATTGTTGAAAATAATGAACTAACATTAACCATTGAAACCAACCCTTGATTATTGTCATATGAACTAGCAGAGCTAGGATTAGACCATTCTATATTTGAACAATATTCTAGAAAACTTATAGATAACACAAATATTAAATATTTTAGGAATTACTGTGTTATTTAAGAAGAAAAAAATTAAAAAACATTTTGTAACTTTTGAAAAATAATTATGTGATAATTATTTTGAAAAAAAGTGTAGTAGCACTAATAACACAAGTCTACAAAAAAAAAAAATTTAGTGCCTAGGATCTTTCAAGTGATTTTAGCTAAATTTGAGTAGCTGAATCTAAATTTAAAAACAATTTTTCTCTATCAGTTCTAGCTTTTAAGATTAATGTTTCTTTAAGGTGTCGTTTTATGTGAAATTTACAATTCTACTCCATTTTGTAACAAAAATTTACTGAAACAAGGAACCAAAAGTACTTTCTACCAAACAAAAGAAAAGAATCTGCTAACCTACTTCTCTCAAGAAGAGGATCTTATATTTTATCACAAAATAAAAAGACTCCAGGAAAAAATGGTCTTCTTGAATATTTTCAAGATGATTGGCATCTATTTATTGATAGCTCAAAGCAAAGTCTGAACCAATATTAGATACGCACATGATGACATATTACTGCTAGAATTTAAAGAGACTTTTTGTTCCAAAATAAATTCAAAAAATACATTCAAGAATGTCACAGAAAAGAAGCTTCTAGAGTGTTCAGTGTCTATATAATTATATATTTGTATAATACAATAATCAAATTTCGATGTTTATCTTTATGATTCTATCTATGGATTTCACTGAAAATAGTGTAATGTATATTTTACTAAAATGTTATATCTTAAAAAATTAAGAGGCAAAATCTAATAGTATGTTTGAATTCAAAGCATCAAACTCATATAAAATAAGCTGCAACTACCACTGCACCAAAACAGCTTTTGACCAGTGTAACAATGCACAGAACAAAAACATCAACCTAAGTTTACACAGAAACACAAAGGTTTTAAAAAAAATATTTTTAAAATGATTTACATTGGATGATGGTTACCAAGACTAGTGCCAACAAGGGTTACTAAGGTCAATGCATCCCATTAATAAATATTCATAAAAAATGTTTCAAAAGGTCATAATAAAACTTTTAATTTTTGAAAAAAAAAATTTCAACATGTTAAATTTTTAAATCAAAAAAGTTTAATAAAGAAATAAACTTCAGGCTAGATTTGGGGATTGATAAAGTGGTAATATTTTTATCGAAAATAAAAATTAAACCAACTTATTTATTTAGAGTAAAATAAACTTTGCACTTACAGTGTGTTGGATTCATTTACAACATCATTATTGTTCAATAGGTTAATTCGTGTAGCTTTCAAAACAAGATCACACAGAGCACCAGAGAATGGTGTTGGAGGATTAGCAGAGGGCTCGATATCTGAAGGTACTCGTGCATTAATCAGTTTGCGTAAATATTTAAAATAACCTAAACAAAAATTTTATAAAATTAATATTCTTATTTATAACAAAGGTTGGATTGTCTAGATATGGCTAGCAGGTTTAAATTTTAATGCTTCCTATTTTTACCACTGTAGTTCTGGAGCACTGATAATATAGAAACAACTAAACTTCAAAAAGGAAAAAAAACAGTACTCAAATTTTAACATTCTTAAAACAGCTTTAATTGTATTGAAATCTATCATTTTTTTAAATGCAGCATTAAAGTCCTTCGTACCTTCTTAAAATAATACATAAAAAGAGTTAAAAAATGATAGATGCTAAAACTCTTGAAATACTGATTTTAGGACTCTTGAAATCCTACAAATTTTTTTCTATGAAGTTAAAGCTATTACAAAATATATACATATATATATAAATATATATATAAAAAACATAATATAGACATTAAAATTTGATTGAAAATGTATTTCTTACATACAAAGCAAATAAAAGAACAAAATAATAAAAAATGTTAAAAAAGTTTTAGTTAATTTTTAAAATAAATTTACCTAATAAGTTATTTTACCTTTTTGTACAAGAAACAAAGTAATAGATGAAGATGTTCTCTCAGCTTTTTGTTGACCGAAACATATAAATGACTGACAATCAGTAAATACTTCTAGCATACGAAGTGGTATTGCTATATTAATATCTGGTATTTCAAGAGATCTAAAAAATAGTTCTATATTTTCAAGCACTTTCAGGTCGGCAGTTAGGTCAAATGTCGACCCTAATTCCGAGGGTTGTATTTGGATATATATATATATATTTAAATGTATATACATATATATATATTTAAATGTATATATATATATATATATATATATATATATATATATATATATATATATATATATATATATATATTTAAATATATATACATTTAAATATATATATATATATTTAAATGTATATATATATATATATATATATATATATATATATATATATATATATATATATATTTAAATATATATATGTATATACATTTAAATATATATATATATATATATATTTAAATGTATATATATATATATATATATATATATATATATATATATATATATATATATATATATATATATATATATATTTAAATGTATATATATATATATACATATATACATATATATATACATATATACATTAGGGTGTCCCAAAAAAAAAACATTTTTGAAAATAATCTGCTCTCACCCCCTAAATGTGTTCTATCTAATACAAAAACACTAGGTTTAAATTTTTTTTGAATAAAAAATAATTAAAGGGGTCCCTCAAGACCCTCGAATATTTAATGGGTCCCTAATATTTTCGAAAAAAAAGTTTTTCAAAAATATGTCAACCTGGTACTCAAATGAAGCAAAATTATATATATATTTCAAAAATAATATTCATTTCGAAATATTTTAAACTTATTTATCAAAATTATCATAAAAAAACATTAGAAATGTATTTTTTTTATTTTTTCTTAAAAAACGCAATTTTTTATGTAATAAAACCAAGAATAACAATTTTATTTCGAAATGAATATTATTTTTAAAATTTTTATATAATTTCGCTTCATTTGAGTACCAGGTTGACATATTTTTGAAAAACTTTTTTTTTAGGGGTTTTATTTGATATGGTGTCCCAAAAAACAACATTTTTAAAAATAATCTGCTCTCAACCCCTGTTTTTTGGGACACCCTAATATACATATATATATATATATATATATATATATACAAATATACATATACATATATATAGTGTTGCAAAAAAACCTGTTTTTTTGCTGTCGCGTTTTTTTCACCCAAAAAAACTTGTTTTTTTGTTGTTTTTTTGGTTTGGGTGTAGGTTTTTTTGGATTTTTTTAAAACTCTTATGGCATATTTGTTTACTAATTTTGTGTAAACAGAGTGTTTAGCCAAAGTGGTAAAAAAATATTTGTCTTTTTGATTAGGAAAATGGTTAAACAGTTATATTTTTTTTTTTAAAAATTTCAAGATTTTTGCCTCTAAAAAATTATTAATTTTCTTTATATTAAACACGAAAATGATTACCTTTTTTTATTTTGCAAAGCAGTGTTTTATATAATAAATATATTTCTTTCATATAATAAAAATATTTATTTAGATAATTCTGATTCATTCCATTAAATAATACATTTATTATTATTCAAAAAAAAATTATGGATTAATGAAAAATTTAATGAACATAAGTTGAAGAAGTTGAAAAATAATTTTGTAATTTTAAAACCAGTGACAGATCCAGGGGAAATAAGAGGTGTGAACCTACCACCCCGCACCAGAACCCATAAATTTATAAAATATCTTTAAATTTTTTTAATTTTTTTTAGTAGGCAAAAATGTGATACAAAATAAACTAAATTTTTAACAAGCCCCGATTCCCCCTCACACCCACACCAAAAATTCCCGGATCTGACTTATTTTGCGATGCAGTGTTACTTCATTCATATAATAAATTCTTAGAACAGTTCAATATTAAAAAAGATACAATTCATGGCCTTTACTTATAAAAATTTACTTCTTTGTCTTTACTTATAAGAATTACTATTAAAAATTATTTAAAAAAAAAAAAAAATTGTTTTTCTAATTAATGCTGCTCTTTCAAATTTTTTTTGAATAATTGAACAATTGCTAAACTAAGACATTACTAAAAATATGGTAAATGGAAGTATTAAAACAAGTATTTAATAAATATCACCAAAAATAAATTTTAAAACCATTTCAGTGTTTAAAATGCAAAAAGAGTAGTTTTTAAGGCAAAAACGCAAAAAAAAACAAAAAAACCAAAAAACGAAGTCCTCGGTTTTTTTTGCCAAAAAAACTGTTTTTTTGGCAAAAAAACAAGAACCAAAAAAACGAGTTACATCTCTATATATGTATATATACATATATATATATATATATATATATATATATATATATATATATATATAATATGTTATGAATATTTATTTAGACAACTCATACAATTTTTGTAAATAAAAAAATACCTGCAGCAGATAAAAAGAAGCTTTTTTATCTTTAGAACCCAACCTACTTCATCGTTCAATAAAAGTTTTTGTAGCTGTTTAGATGAATTAAGCTTTAGAACAGACTGACAAACAATTATCTAAAAAAAAAATTTCAAAACAAATAAAATCATTTACAGAACTGGGTGATAAGATAAAAAAAGAGAGGGCACAGGAACTTGTCAATTATATAAACAACTTTATCATGTCCAGAGTTGAATGTTTACCATTTATTTAATGAATGTTATACACAAAATAAAAACACTATTTGCTTATGTTGGCAATGCACTTTATGGAAAACAATAGATACCTTTAACATCAGGGCTCAAATTAAACATATCGCAACCACGAATTGCAATTGCTTTTCACACCTTCGCAAAAAGTTTTTTCTTTAAAAAATATATATATATTCTTATTTTTTTTTAGTTGTTTATTTTTTTTTTTTTTTTTCTAATGTAGCATTTTATTTGGCTATTCTCAAAAGTAATGTTTTTGTCTAAGTTTTTATTAGGGTTCATAAAGTATGTCGCGCTAAATTTATCTTTTGATTAGATCTTTTTGCTCTTTTGCACATGATCATTTTGCTTGATTTTTATTCAACAAAAAAAAGCACTTTTGAATTTAAATTACTTTAAATCTCTGCATGGAAGCCAATAATATTTTGCAAGGTCGCTAAAGCAAAAAGTTTAAAAGGGAAAAGACATTAAAGCAAATTTTTTTTCTTTAATTCATTTTTTTCAACAAAAGAGCCTGGTTTTTGTTTTTGTTTTTAAAACATTGCACCAAATTAACTTATAAAAATTATTTAAGTTATTATTTCATCAACATATTACTAATTTTACTACTTCAAATATATTAAAATATATTAAATTTGTTTTTTTAGTTAGTAGTTAAACTGTAACTGGACGAATCCAGCGAGTGTGGTTTATCACACTTTGACAGCATTAATCCAAATATATATTAAAAATGTTTAGTTAAAACTTCTTTGATTTGGCGTTATACTCATCTAATCTATTCTTAAATTGAATGACAGTTTTTAAAGTAACAAAAGTTTCCGGTAAAGCGTTCCATAAATTTGCCGTACCATTTAATAAAAATGATGCCGAGGTAAATAGTTCACAATTTCTCTTTCATATTTAAGATTGTGACCTCGAGTAATTGAATCAATTTTAAGCTTCGGTTCATTAATTAAATCAATTTCCTCAAATCTGTTAAGTAATTTAAACACTTGTACTAAATCCCCACGTTCCCTCCCTGTTTTCAATGTAGATATATCTAATATTTCCAATCTCTTTTCATAATTAATTTTCCTCAATGATGGAACTAATCTAGTCATCCTGTGTTGAACTTCCAAAAATCCAAAAGTGATATGTCTCCTTTAAAATAAGGTGACCAAACAGGTACTGCAAACTCAATAAGAGGTCTAATAAATACCTTATACAATGTTTTAACCAATTTTGCATCAATTCGTGAAAATGTCATCTTCAACATACTTATCATTAAATTTGCTTTAGAAGTACTTGATATAATTTGTTTTTTCCATTTCAAGTTTGTTGAAAAATATACATCTAAATCTCTTTCGCATTCAGAATCTTTCAGTTCAACATCATTTAAAGTATATTTCAATCGCGGATTATCTATACCATAATGCATTATAACACATTTACTAGAATTAAAACCCAAGAGCCACTTTTTAGACCATTCCTCTGCACTATCCAGATCTTTTTGCAAGCTATTTTCCACATTTATTTCATTCACTTTTGAAAGAATTTTTGTATCATCTGCATACAATTCTGACTTATTTTTAAATATATTTGATACATCATTAATAAAAATAACAAATAATAAGGGCCCTGATACAGATCCTTGCGGAACACCACTGAAAACTTTGCGCCATGAAGAAACAACATCACCTTGGATAACTCTTTGGATTCTGTTTTTTAAAAAAGCTTCAATCGATTTTAATAATAAACCACTAATTCCATATGAAGATATTTTAATCAATAGTCTTTTGTGAGCAACAGAATCAAAAGCTTTAACAAAATCTAAAAGTGCTTCATCTACCAAAATACCAATCGATAAATTAAATGAAATATAATCCAACGCCTCTAATAAGTTTGTTGTACAAGACTTCCCTTTAACAAAACCATGTTGTAACTTCGATATTAATTTATATTTCATTAAATATGATTGTATGCAGTCTCTGACTATACCTTCCATAATTTTACAAGTAATTGATGTCAATGACACTGGTCTATAATTTGCAGCTTCTAATTCATCTCCCTTTTTGAATAGTGGTGTAATATTTGCTCGCCCTTTAGATATGCGATCCGTGGAAATGGAATTTCCACGGATTGCATATCTAAAGGGTGAGTTTGCTATTCTTTCACCATTCATTTTGTCACGTTTCTTCCTAAGCTCATAGTTTTCCATTCTCTCTGCTTCAGTTAAATCAGGCAAAATAAAAACCTCCTTGTAATCTTGCCTTTCTCTTAATTTAGATTTTGCTAAAATTGGATTTCTCTCAGAATCTTCATTTAAAATCACTAATACTGGTCCCGGTTTTCCAGTTTGTTTCGTATTTAGCTTTTTTTGGAATGTTGAGACGATTTCTACATTTATTTCATGAAATAGTTTACAAATTTGTTCTTTATCCTCCTCATGTTGTTCTTGCAATGTAGCTTTTTTAGATGCAGGAAGGCCATAGACATTTATATTTTTTCTTCTTTTTTCTCTATTTTTTTGCTCATTAATAGCTGCATTTACAACAATTAATTGTTCAACTGGGGATTTCGTTTTAGAAGAAGAGGTAGACCAATTTTTACTTGTTATAGCATCTGAGTATGATTGTTTTGGCAATGATTCTCAAAAGTCTTTTTCATCCTCTAGTACCACAATACGTGTTTCTAACCCTTTCTGCAGACAGTCATTTTCCATTTTTAATATTTTTTTCTCAAGTGCTTTATTTTTTTCTAACTCTATCTCAAGATGTCTCAAATACTCTAATTCATTTGTCTGTATTTTGGTATTAAGAAATAACAAAACTTTCCAAATTTTACCACACCAATCATGTAAGACTTTAGAGCCCGTATGATCTCCTGGTCCTAAACTTGGCCAATTTTCCTGCTTTAAAAAGTTTCTTTAAAATTTTTTTCTAATAGTTAAGCTAAAGAAAACCAGAAACTTTTTTGCTTCAACTTTTTTCGCTTTAATGACCCTGAACCTTTAAAAGTTATATTTACTTTGATATACTGAATGGATAAAGTACATCACAGTAAAATTACTTATAAACTAAATCAAAACAACCATTAACTTACAGTTACTCAAATAATTATCAACTATATTAATTTACTTAAAATACTCAAAGACTCGCAAAAGTTAGCCATACAAATGTTTCTATTTATATCTATGTTGTTAACACATAATATAAGCTAATAACTAAAAATTATTTTAACAAGAAATGCCTAATAGAATATGAAAAATGCAATACCATTTTTTTATATTTAAATTTTATGTAAAGCGATATCAAGATTAAACATTTTCTATAAATACTCAAGTTGTTTTAAGAAATTTTTTAAAAAAGAAATCTATTTGAACAAAAAAATTCTTCAAAAATAAAACTCTTAAAATTCTCTCATTCAAATACTTTTGCGATGAAAATTTAAAATTAAAAAAAAAAAAAAAATTAAAAAAAATTTTAACATTTAATAATTATGAACTTAATTGCAGCGGCGTCTGTAATACATCATTATTAATACATAATAGGATTTAGAACATAGTGCAAGTGAAGAAAAAACTTTTATTTAAATAGTAAACATTTTGAAAAGTAATTTTTTTTTGTTTCTTGAAAATAGTTTTTAAAGTAGAAACATTCTATTGCAAAAATTAAACCAATGGTTAATGCAAACGTTAAACCAAAAATTAAAATATAAAAAAATAAAATAAATTTTTTAACTTAAATGTCTTAATTATTAAATCGATTTATTAGACCAAATTTTTTTTCTCACTTTTGTTACAAAACAATTTAAACAAAAAAAACTTAATGAAAACATTTACTTAAAAACCATTTGAATGAAAAAACCATTTTTACTTCAATTTTTTAATAGGACGTTTATTATACTTTTAATAGTAATAGCAATAAACTATAACAAACGCAGTATCTAATGTTTTTTGGCTCTGATCTTACTCGCTTGGTCTTTTCATTTTATTTTTTAAATGTTTTTATTTAATTTTTTTTATTTTTATCGCGTTTTATGTTATTAATGTTATAAAAACTTAAATTTATAAAACAGCAACGTTAAACCAAACATTGTATTAATATAAAACAATGAAGTTGTATTATATTAAACAAACTTTGCAGTTTGTTTTATTGTTGTTTTTATAGCTTTTTACAATAGCAATTCAATACTCTTTAAAAATACATGTTTTATTGTCAGCATGAACGTATTAAATAGCTTTCTATTTTATACGTTCATGCTGACGATAAAACTTGTTATTTTTATAACTAATGCTGTAAATTATAACAGTAAACTACACTATTTTAAACTCCACCAAACGAGATAATTAAAAGATAATATTTAAATATGAGAGATAATATGCTTAAAAAATAACAATTAAAAACTAATGATGAAAAAATACAATTTTATACTAACGCAACCCCTCTCTTACTCCAGAATAGTGCCAGGAATGAGGGGGGTGGAGGTGAATTTTTTTTTTTTTTTTTGCAATTTGATTTTTTGCATTAATTCGAGCACTGAACATAGATGAATCAATTTCCATCCCAAAGACATTTTTATGAAGGTTGGGGGTGGGGTGGGGTGGGGGTTGACATATCTGTTTTTTGCCAACTTAATCCAGAAAAAATTTTTTGCCAAATAACTTATCTATATAAAAAAAAAAAAAGTCATTGTTGACCAACATTTGCCAACTGCAGACTAGATCCAATTTTGCTAACTCCAGTGTCTCCAATTTGCTGACTAAGAAAGTTTGTAGAGGGGCTAGATACCCCTAATGCCCCATCTCCCCTCAGGACGGCCCTGTCCATACCTTTAATACATTCCCATACACTAAGTAAGGAGAAAATAAAAAAATTAGGATTTTTTTTTTTCTTTAAAAGGCATTTGCTTTCCAGCAACCAACAAATTACTTGAAGAAAGAAAAAAACTGGGTCCTATAATTCATGTTTTATATAATTATATAATTCTTATTATTCCAGTAGATATTGATGAGTATCAAATGTGTTTTAAAGATGGCTGTGATGGAGCAAGGCAACAAGCATCAATTAAATCAAAAGAAATGATTGAAAGCAAATTAAATGTTTCAATACGGTCTTATTTCCCTAAGCCTAGTATGCCATTGAGATAAAAATATGACACTGTGGCAAAATTATTCACCAAATGCATCAAGATCGTTACGCCCTATATTTTTGATAAAAGAAACAAAAACTACTGATAACACACAAAAAGAATGTGTTTTCAGTTTGACAAAAATTGTATCAATATCAAAATTTATATTCAAACTACAATGAAAAATTTAAAATTTAAATGACTCGTCAGCGAACTAGGAGGTGCAGATTGTATACTTTACAAAACAAAAACTTTTGAATATACAGAATACCCAGGTATTGAGAAGAAATATGGATGCTGTCTGAAAAACTAATTATTGGGGATGGTATCATTCCTACTAAACTGGAGATTTCGCCACACAAAAAGGACTGACTAAAAAACCACAAACCAAATCTCATCAAAAAAACATATGTATTACTCATTCATACATAAATAGGACTACCTGGTTTATAAAACTACTGTATTGGTATCACATAGATTATAGACTTTGGGTTGAAAAAACAGAACCATTTGGTGAACCAATAGGTAATGCTAGAGACAGGGTTATTACTACAAAAAAAGAAAACACTGAACTACGGTTAGATATGTGTTGTAACTCTGGTAAGTTTGGAGGGACGTCTACAACAGGGTCACAAAATCGTAGATTTTTTTTGATGAAGATAGCATGTTACTATTATATTCTCAAATCAGTGTAATACTTTTGTATAGTTTCTTGTCAACCTAAAATTAAAATTAAGAAATTTTAAGAGTTATGTAATACTGCTATGTCTTACATTATTAGAAATATGCTATGGGCAAAAATTAACCACACTCTTCATGGAGTCCTTCATCACTCAGCTGAATAAATTATTATTATGATAGTTATGGCCTTGGCAATTTATCTGAGGAAATTTAACTAAATTAATTATTCTTAATGATAGTTATGGCTTGGCAATTGACGAAACAAATGATAAAGATATAAGAAACAATTTAAAGCTTCTTTCTCATTTAAAGACATCACATTTAGAACAGCTTACTGATGTGATAAGTCATCTTTTAGAAAGATCTGATCCTGGTCAATCAAATTATCCACTTGCATCCTCCTAAGTTATACCAAAACTGTTTTTCAAATTGAATACAAGCAGATCTCATGAGCATATATTTTCGAAACCAAAGAGATATTTCGATGATATGTTTAAAAACCTTATATATGATTTGTTGTGAAGTTATTTTTTATTTTTACTTTTTATATTTAAATATATGCAGCAATATCAAATATATGCAATATCAAATCATTATAACTCTTTCCTTACACTTTTATCCAAATTTGATCATATACTTATCTTTGAGTATTAAACTTCTTATCAATAAACAGTAGGAACCAGACCCTTAAATTAAATAATTTTTTTGAATTTTCTACACTTTAAGTATATCTAATAAATTACACTTATAGCTGTTATTTAAAAAAAAAATTAACTTTGAAAATTCATCAAAAAACAGTAACTTATCGAAAATGCCCAAATATGGTAATTTGAACTCAGTCCAGAAATTTAATTTTTCAATTATTAATAAATGAAATTATTAAATTATTAAATATTTAATTTTTATTATTATTAAATTATTGTTATTAAAATTATTAAATTATTATAATTATTAAATGAAAATTTAAATTTTCATTTTCCTATAATAAACACAAAAAAAATCCTCAATGAGTTTTCTCAGATTTTTTAAAAATTTGTAATGATTCCATGACTTTGCCCTCTGGGTCCACTGTGGAGTTAACAAAAATTGTTTTTGGTTAACCACATAACATATTCTTCTATACATACAACCATATACATACATACATTTACATTGTGGAAGTGGAGGGGCACAACCATTAATATGGCTATTACATAAAACTTTTCTAAATACTAATTTTTTAAAAAAATTCAAAAAAAAACTTAATTTAAAAAAAATAATAATAATAATTTTTAAATTTTTTTTTCAATTAAAATGATATGTTGATACTACTAAAAAACCCTTTATGTTATTTCATATAAGATTCAATCTTTGATCTTTTGATTAAAACATTTTTAGATCAGCTTGATAAAAAAAAATGTTTAAAAAATAAAACAATTGACATTTTATTAACTTATAAATTAAAACACTACTATCAACTATAAAAGAAAACATACCAGTCTTTGGTAATCAATACTTGCTTTATAAAAACAACACAACTTTTTAATGAGAACAATCAAAGAATCTGAGCATCCTTCATTTTTTATTAGCAAATCAAACACATCTCGCTCTTTTGCACTCTAAATAGTTAAAATAAAAATATTAAAGACATAAACAATTATATATGCATATCTATGTATATATATGCATATGTCTTCTGAAAGAATGGCAAACTATTACCCATGCTCGCCCAAAGCCCATGTAAGTTGGCTCGTCTGGGCAAAAAAATGCACAGGCAAAATTTTTTTTTTTTTTTTGAAAAAAAAAATTACATATTCTATTGTTATTTATTTATTTATTCTGTAAAAACTTCTAAAAGTTACACCACATGATGTAATTTTAACAAAAAATAAACTTTATGTTTTAAAACTTATACTTTTATAGAAAAAAATTAAATTAATTTTCAATTTTCACTTGAAATATTTATTAAAATAGAATTATATAGCACTTTTATATATTTAAATTAGAAGAAAAAAATTAAGCTCTCCTTGATTATGATTACCATTGATGAATAGAAAATGAAATTGAACATCTAAGCGGAAATAACTCAGTTCAGATAATTGTTTGCATTACTAACTTGAAAATCATTATAAGCTTTTTAGACATGTGAACCAATATTATAGTTAGCATGTTAAGATATTCAACCTTTATTAAAATTACATCAATTGATGTAACTTTGAGCAACTTTTACTGAAAACATAAATAAATAACATTAATATCTTTTAATGGAACTTATAATAAAATTATTATAAGCACCTTATTACAAAGGCCTTTATTTGGCAAGACAAGCACTGAGGCAAAAAAAATTGAAAACTGACAGCATTTTTATTGATGTCAGACTTTAGCTGTTATCCAACAAGGATTACCAATATAAAGTATTACCATTATTATAAGTTGGAAAATTAAAGATTTTCTGGAATAAAAGTTTCAAATTGTAAAAGAAACATATTCTGCAATCTTCAAACTATTAAAAACTATTGGGAAAATTAAAAGCTTTATCAGATAGTCAAAACCTATAGTACTTTGGTTTTACAAAAATTACAAGCATATAAAGATCTTTTTATTGTGATATATTTGTTGATAAAAAAAAAGAGTTCAACAATATACACTAATACTAAAAATAAAATTCTGGATAATCTAAATATATATTTAAATAATAAACATTATTATGTTCATAACTATAAAAGTACATTTAGGTAATCTGAAACCTCACCCAATCCCCATCAAGTTTGTCCTCATTCCCATCAGTAACATAAATTTTTGTAACTTGCACATAAGTAGTAAAATGAAAAATATTTAAAAACTTACAATGCACCTTCTGACAGTAATTCCACGGTACCATGATTGAATTTTTAATGCAGATATGTTTTGTCGTCTTAGTAACTGAAAGTATATGTAACATATTATCAAAAAAGATGATATCATTTATAATGATTTCATTTTCTATTCCTATACAAATCATTATTTAAAATGACATCAGAATAAATCTAACAATACACATCAAATTATTTTAATTTTACTTCAAAGATGATTAAATTAGATTCATTTGTGTTTACTAAATTGCTATTACATTTGCGTTTACTAAATTTCTAAAATAAAAAGGATTTGTTAAATTTTAAATTATTAAATTTTAAAATGACAAAAAAACAAAGAAAATATTTTTAAAATAATAATAATAAAAATTTAAGGTTTGCATACAATTAAATGCAATAACTAAGAAGTAAAATTTTATTATTTATATATAAAACTTAATGAAACTTTTACTTAATTTAAATTAAATGTGTGTGTTCTAAATTAATTCTAACCATCAAAACTGCTAATTTCTAAAAGTTTTGGTCTTGCACAAGTCATTAGTTCCTGACTACTATTTCAAGCTATTAAGTGTCTTGTGTTTCTTTTCTTGAAAGCTGTGATGTTTTTAGTAATTTATTGTTTTACTGATACTTTTCTTAACATAATGCTCAGGGTCTCACTACTTTTACCTCCTATTTTAGAAACACTTCAGCATCGTAAAGTACTTTGTCAGCTCTATCTTCTTTTGCTACACATACAAAATAATTAACTATTCAGTGTACAATTTCATGGCGAATCAAATGTTTTGCTTCGCCATGAAATTTTTATAGAAATTTCATAAACAACAAGCCTTTTTAAATATAACCTTCTTAAAGAAGATATTGTTGTTTTAAAAAATTATTTTTTATTTAACAACAATTTTTTTTTTCATTTTGATGAAATTTTGCTTATTTTTGCAACTTGATATATTTTAGGAGAAAAATATTTTTGGTAATAAATGTGGTGCCCGCCATGTTGTATTGGTGCATGAATTTTTTTTTAAACAGAACAGAATAAATGTCATTTTCTTATTTAGTTTTAAAATGTTTATTAATTACAATTACAGGCTAAATAAAAAGTTTTTTGTCATGACCCTAATATACACATAAGCATCAATCTTATTTTTTTACCATAAACAGTCATATTGTCTTTTAAATATAAAACTTGTTTTAAAGTGTTTTCTTTGGTGAAATCCAATTTAAACAGCTGTTTGCAGTTTTACATTTATCTAAATCATCAGCTTTGATGAACTTTGATGTTATTTCTTTCAAAAGTTGTCATATAAAAATGACATCATAGATTTAGCATACTGATACTACTTGAAATTTAAAGGATCCTTAGTAACAACACAACTTAGTAGATTTTATATGGAGACTTACTCTTTTGTAGAGATTCTCGAAACCTACATATTTTACAAATGCTCTCCCAAATGTTAACAGCTTTTAGCGCCACTTTTTTATCATCATCAGTCACTTCAGTCTTTTTGCCAAACAAGCGAATCATGGAGAATTTGATAAAAATGTAGAGTATTAAAAAGACTTTCAAAGTTTTTTTAATACTCTAGTCTGCCTTTTTTTTTCTCCCTATTTTTAAATGATTGATGAATAAAATGAAAATAACAAACTTTAGTTGACATTAGTTCGACATTTTCAGCACAATAGTTTTGTAACTCAGTATGGCCTAATTTTCATTTGGGTCATTGATAGATACTTAAATAAGTTTGGTTTTATTCAGTTTATAAAATTTATAAAATTTTTAAAGATATAAAGATCTAAACTTCAACGATGTCCAATTATTAAATTTGTTGAGTTGAGTCTTAATTTGGTTAAGTCTATATAATAAGTCTAAATGATCTAGGCTTTAACTATGTCCAATAAATGTTAGGTAATAAGGTTGAATCTAGTTAATAAATGTTGAATCTAGGTAATAAAGGTTGAGTCTAGGTAATAAAGGTTGAGTCTAGGTAATGTGTACAAACAGAACTTACAAAACCATCCTAATAGTTAACAACTAAATCTATCTGCCCCATTTAAGAATTAAGACTTTCTTAGAAAAAAAAAACAGCATAAAAGTCTTATTTATATTTTTGAAAAGAATTAACTGATTATGTGAAGCTATTCAAAATTAATATAATAAAAGCACTTGTTTTTTTGCAGAGAAAACTTTTTTAGCCAATGCACTGTCAGGACTCATTGATTTGAACAAAATCTATTATTAGATCAAAAAGAAAATAAGGACATTAAAATTAAGACTAATTAAAGGCTAAAGATTAGAATCTTTAGCCCTTAAAGAGCTGTGTCTTTTTTAAAAGTGATTGTTATAACTATATGTACTTTAATCCTCACGCATTAACCTAAGTTTTATATTCAAACATATGCAACCATTTTATTTGCTTTAAACTATAATTTAGAGTTTTCCTGTTTAGTATTAAATTGTTGCAAATATCGATTATATATTTAAAAGCTTTATATACTGGTACATGTAAGTATACATCATTAAAGTATGTTAAATTCATTTTTTACTTACATTTGTTTTGGTCTAAAAGTGTTACTGTTTACAATAGTGCTTAATTGATTGTTAAAGAAAGAAAAAGACATGATTGAAGAGCATTTTTCCAAAAGAAGCAAACTTTATGTTTTGAGAAAACAAAAAAACTAATTATCTGTATTTTCTCTAAAAGATTACGATCAGCAATTATTGCCCACCTCATTTTTCCTAATTCTGAGCTATTCTAGACCCTTTTCAACAGAGCCAACCGTATTTGGACGCCACCCAAACTCAGGAATCGAGGACCTTCTTTTTTTTTTTTACAGCTAATGATGTTTTTTTCATAAAAAAACTCTTTCATACTACAAATTTCATTATGGCGCAGGGATAATGTCGCCCAAATAATTTTCCTAGAATAGCATATGAAATTATATATACATATATCTCAATATAGTTAGCGCAATAAATGTTATTATTATTATTGGTGCGCATAGTTACGCATTGTTACGCCTATTGTTCGTTTTGTTAATTACGGTTCTGTATTCTTTAAAATACACTATTTCTTAGTTTTTAAGTAGTTTCTAGACTTTTCTAAATGTGGTTATATATTCCACGAGGTCTTTCAAGTAAAACCAGCAAGCAAATTGGAGCTGATACACTTGTTTTCAAGAAGAACTGATATTGTTCATTTTTTTAAATAAAAATTTAAATAATTGTTAGTTTGTTGTAGCTTGTTTTTATTTTTTCTAATTTTTATAGCCTGTTTTTATTTTTTAAAAGAAGTTAGAACTAAAATGACTGGTAAAATAGTTTTTTTAGTAAAATGTTTCTTTTTTAGTAATTTGTTTCAGTTTTGTTGTTAGCCTTTTTAGAACATTTTAAACAAGTATTGCTTTATTTTTTAGAGCAGTTAAGAGAAGATGATGGCTTTTTTAGTAAGTTGAATTCGTTTTCTTATTTATAGATTAAGATCTATAAGAATATAAAATAAAGTTTTATATATGTATTTAATATGAAAAGTTAAATAAAATAAGACTGTTATTTGTGTTCATGTAAGTTTATATACATAAATTTGCGTTTATTTTAGTCTATTTTATATTACTCTATATCTATAATATATGTATATTTTCTCTTAGCATAAATAATAAATAGGAGAATAGAAAAATAAAAAAAACTTCTTCTGGAATTTGTCAAAAGAATGTTGTGTTAGGCTTCATTTTAAGGTATCTAAATATGTATTTATTTTTCATTTTTTAGAAGAAGTTAGAACTAAATTGACTGGTAAAGTAGTTTTATTTGTACAATGTTTCTTTTTTAAGAAAACTGTTTTAGTTTTGTCGTTAGTCTTTTTAAAACATTTTAGGCAAGTATTTATTTTATTTTTTAGAGCAGTTAAGAGGAGCTGATCGCTTTTTTAGTAAGTTCAATTTATTTTTCATACATAGATTAAGATTTTTTTTTATAGAAAGAATAATGAGAATAAAATTTCATTTATGTATTTAAGATGAAAAGTTAAATAAAATAAGACTGTTATTTGTGGTCATGTAAGTTTATATACATAAGTTTGCATTTATTTCAGTCTATTTTATCTTTCTCTATATCTATATGTATATTTTCTCTAAGGAAAAATAATAAGGAACAGAAAAATTAAAAAAATTCCTCCTGGAATTTGTCACAAGAGTGTTGTGTTATGCTTCATTTTAAGGTATCTAAATATATATTTATTAGAAATTTTTATTAAGGTATCTAAATATATATTTATTATAAATGGTTTCTTCTTTTTCATTACTTTAGATAAATATATACTGACTGACATAACTTCATTTTTATTAACAATGTTGTGCATTGTAGTCTGCATTCTTTGTTACATTAAAAATAATTGATGCTAATAAATGTTTTATAGCTGTTAAAAGTTTGCATATATGTTTGCATGTATATTATGCTCAAAGTTAAATTTTTTTGATAAATACGTGTATGTGGTGATATATGTTATATAGTTGTTTTATAAATGTGTTTATATAAATGTGTTTTTATAATAGTATGAAATGTATTATATCTAATTTGTGCATGATTGTTAAATGAGGTGTTTTTATATGTTAAGTAACATAAAAAAAGATATTGTGTTTTATAATTAGTATATATGTTTTTATAATGTTGTTTCCATGATTTCAAAGTGGCGTGACTGGGCAAACGTGTAGAGCAAGATTTGTCAATCTTACCAGGCAAGCGATGTTACTGCTTTAGGTCTAAGTGTTGCCTAGCCTTTAATATAACTATTCTGGAAACACATAGCATTATCTTTAATAATTTTTTACATAATGTTGTTACCTTTGGCTTATCTTTACATTGGTGTCAGCTGTTAAAAATGAATAATAGGTAGTTTTATTACTAGAACTCACTGCTTTTATTTAGTTACTTATAAGTAACTAAATAAAAACTAAATTAAGTCATTCAAGACACCATTTCGCTATAAATACATTTTGTTTATTATGAAATAACAATATTTAGCAACTACTACTCAGGTATCACAACAGCTTATATTTATCAGGTACATTGATTTTCAATTCACACATGATGTTTTTTTTTGTATTTACTTATTCGTTACATTTTTAACTTCAGATTTATGGTGTATTTATTTGCTATAGAAGTACAAATCAATTTGAATTTTTATGAATTTTTAAAAAATATCTACTCCAGTCAACATTTAAAGCTCAATGTTGCACATACCATTTTTAAGTAGCTTCTAAGCTTTTTTGATGCTTTTCTTATTCAAGTGGTTTTATAAGCAAGGTCTGCAAGCAAATTTGAGCTGAAAAGTTTTTCAGGTTTCAAGGAGAATCAATGTTGTTCTCTGTTTAATTTAATTTGTTTAAATAGAGTAGTTTTAATAAATAAATGTTAATTTGTTCTTGGTTTTTTACTTATTTGTTTTCAGATTCTTAAGAACTAGGCAACTTAGCAAAGCAAGATTTGTTTTATTTTTTAGTGCAATTGGAAAGAGCTGAAGTGCTTTTTAGTCACTTCAAATCAATTGTTTCTTTTTTTAAATAGAAGGGTTAATAATAAAAAAATTTTAGACAGACAAACTGTTACTGATTTGAGTAAGTTTAATATTTTGTTTTATTTTATATTAGATTTATTTTATATTAGATATATACTTTATGTATTTAACATGGAAAACTGACTGTAATTTTTGACAGGTAAGTTTATATACATATATGTGCCTATATATCAGTATATTTTATATTTCTCTGTATTTATATATATATATATATATATATATATATATATATATATATATATATATATATATATATATATATATATATATATATATATATATATATATATATATATATATATATATATATATATATATATATATATATATATGTATATATATATATATATATATTATCTCAAAGAAAAAATTAAAAAGAACAGAAAAAATTTGAATATATATACATACATACATATATTACTTTAGACTGACATAGCTTCATTTTTTATATAAGATTCTGCATTTATTATTTTTGTGCATTAAGATTGTGCCTGAAGGTAAAATAACTTTGCATTGTAGTCTAAATTCTTTGCTAAATTAAAATAATGTAAATAAATTTTGTTTTATATTTTTCAGTTGTAAAAATATAAAACGCTCATTTATTCAGTTGTAACAGTAGTATAATCACTGGTAATAAGTTTAATGATAACATATGTATAATATTAGGGTCGAAGAAGTTGTTAGTGTAAATGGTTATAGGTGACTTGAAATTGTTGTCATATGAAAGAGATAGAACTAGGCGTGATAAAATTAATTGTCGATGTAATATAAGAAATCTTGCTTGATGAACAGAAAACTTACTTGCCAGAACTCAGTGTCAAGCAGTGTTGATGTCTATTATTTGATTTTACTTTAGACACTTTAAAATAAAGCAAAGTATGAATTTTACTATTTATAGTAACAAATAATAGCAGTTTCAATTTTAAATGATTTTAATTTTTTTTTTTTTTTTTTTGTAGTCTTAAACATAATTGTGTTCATTTTTTTTTAATTGGCTTTGTCACTTGATTGTTTTGCTTACTGTTGAAACATGGTTTTAATTTTGTAAATTAAATATGATGTGAAATTTACAATATTAATCATTTGTCAACAGTTAGAGAGAAGCTGGAACTTAATTAAGAAATGCTGGAAATTAACTTTTAGTTAAAGTAAAAATAATTTTGTTTATTGGTAGCATAAAAAAACCAGTTACTGTTATTTATTGCATAACTTTTTTACTTTTTCTAACATGCTGCTTTTGAAACACTTCCTCTCTCTCTCTTAGATGAGACTTAGTGAATAAGAATTGGTACAGGGAGAAATGATTAAACTCATGTAATTACTGAGCTCTTGCATATTTTTTAATACTGCGATTGATAATGACCATTTATAAGATATATTTACGCGTTGCTTGCTATTTAAAGATATAATTCTTTAAATTGTCCCTTGGTTGTTCAAATATTGTAATAAATAAAATCTTTTTAGTTTCAAGTATTTTACTTTAGGGATTGTCTATATATTACCTAACGCAAAATTAAACATATAGACAAAAAAAATATAGCAAAACCGTGTTTCTCTCATGGTCAACTATATGTTGCATGTTCAAGAACTAGAGCATTTAATAGTTTGTTTTTCAAAATTGGTAAACATCTTATTCAAGGTATTATAGGTAAAAAGTGTTACATAAATATTGTTATATTTTCTAATGTTCTTAATTTATAGTCTTTAGATTTTTATTTCGAAAATTTACTGTTAAAGGTTGTGAGCACATTTTGTATGTATATAATAAAAAATGCGGTAGTGGTGTAGTGGTAGAGCGCTCGCTTCATAAACGAGTGGTTCGGAGTTCGATCCTCACCACATCCCTGGTAGTACCGCGCTCAACTCATTTCTCCGCGCAGCGGCCTTGTTCATCAAGGTTCGTGTTTCGGAGTTATAGAGTTGAGAGAGGGTTATAGACACAAATAAGTAGCCTCCTCGTCTGTAGTGGCCTTCTCGGCCTTGAGGAGGTGAATTAAAATAAAAAAAAATTTAAAAAAAAATGTATAACTTGATTTATCACTATTTTTTTTTCATAGTTTTTGATAAATATATATGTCATTCAATAGTTGTAAAATGTGTTTATATGTGTTATATAAAGTCATATTTGTTTATAGTTGTATATATATTTAAATTATGTTGTTTCCATGTTTTCAAAGTGGTGTGTCTTGGTATTATGTTAAGCAAGTTTGATAACCTTGCCAGCCAAGCGGTGTACTTATAGCAGAGGTGTGATTTGGCAGCATTTAGTGCCAGGCAGTGTTACTGCTTTAGAGCTAGGTTGTGTTGTCTAGCTTTTTTTAATTATTCTCGAAACACATAATATGTCTGTTAATGTTTAGTATAATGTGGATGAGAGAGTATGCAACCTTAATCTTTAAATCTTGGGTGCTTTAATGTCCTAAATTTGACCTCCTCATACATTTTATGTTAATTTTACAGATGGATTAATTTTTTCAAGCTGAAGACGTTTTTCTAAAAGGGCATTAGTTAAGGTTTTGCAACATTAAATTGTGGAAAACAGCCACTATAAATTAATTATGTAACAGACTGACCAAAACCCGTATTACAGGTTGCTTTTTGCTAGTATATATATTTTTTTTACTTTTTTATACTATTTTTATCATATTTATATATAGTTTTTAACTTTTATTTTATTTTTATTCATACATATTTAAATTTATTATTTTACTATAAAAATATATTTTTTATATTAATTTTTGTTATTTTTATTTATTTATTTTATATTTCATTTTTAACTTCATCTATTTACAAAAACGATTAATTACAATAATATGAACCTTGCTGTAAACCTAACCCTAAGCCTGACCTTGAGCCTGGCCTAACCAAACCCTCAGTCGATGTAGCAGCACTCCCTTGCGAGTCAGGCTATTTGATAGTCGATGTATGCACTTTTTGTTCTCTATAAAAGTTTCTTATAGGTACATTTTTTTACAAAAAAAATAATGCTTATGGGGACAAAAAATTCACAGGTACACTAAAATGTCCCCAATAATGCTAATGTCCCCATAAGTGTTCGTTTTTTGTAAAATCTGTCCCCATAAGTGAAAAACTATACAAATATATATATATATATATATATATATATTACTATAATTGAAATTACTATATTTTTGTGCAAATAATTTTTGGGGAACAAACTTGTTTTCAACATTCAAGATCAAGAGTACTAAAAAGCTAAAACTTTATTATGTAATCTTTGGCATAAATGTGATTGTAAAACTTGTCTTTTGATTTTTCAGTTCCCCAAAAGGAAGTGTAGCTATTTTTACAATCCCTTAAATTTTTGCAAAGCAAATAATAATAAAAATAATAATAGATTATTATTATTTAATAAATAATTTTACTTATTTATTCAATGAAAGCAATAAATGTCATACAATAATAAAATTTGATAAGGTTAATAAATTTTTAAAAAGATTTAAAAAATACCTCTCTTTTAGTTCTTTCATCTTTTGCAGATTGTAGTAAAGACTTTTTGTCAATCTATAAATTAAAAAAGCGAAATTTAAATTTTTATTTTTTTGAACTGAGAAGAGATAATTCAATGACATAAATTTTTTGAATGATGTCATTTATTAACTTATTCTTTACTTAAGTTGGTCCACTTAGTTGTGCTTAAAGGTAACCTTGCCAGCCGAGAATTGTGCTTCAGGGTTATAAGATTAAAGGAAAAGTATAAGGGCAGCCAAAAAAAAAAAAAAGTTTATTACCCTTCATGCCTAAAGTAGTCACCAACTAAAATAAAAATTCTAACTGAACTTTTTTTAATAACAACATTTTTTTATAACACCCTTTTATATTTAATTTTTATTAAACTCACCTCCCTAAAGCTCCAGCTACTTTAGTCAAGGAGACCACTCATTTTTTAAATTTTATTTAAAACTCTTTCTAAGCCCTAACCTCCTAAACACAAACTAAATTAAATTGGGTCACTGAAAAGAGAATCAAGTAGAACACATATTTCCTAAAACATGGGTTGGATTTAAATCATGAACCTCCTAATTGTGAGACAAAAGCTCTTCTAGTCTATTCTCTTAAGACAAAAAACAAATAAAATACAATGCATAGAAAACACTGCAAGAAATGACTGGAAAAAATTGCTTAAACAAAAAAAACTGTTTCAAAAAATAAAATACTTTTTTTGAGCAGAAGTATACCATTTAAATAAGTTGCATTTTATGTAAATAAATCAGTATCTGCTCAAGCTGCTTTTCCATTTCCTTTTTCTGATTTCATTCTTTACTTATATATCTCATATCTGTCCATGTTAGAAATACTGTTATTGTATTTGCAATTTTCTAATAATGCCTTTTTTTAAACAAAGTCCAAGAATTATAGTATATGTAGTTGAATCCGCTCTAGCTGCCAAGCTTGAGCTTCTGTCTGTTACAAAGCTATAATTCTTTTTCTTTACTACAGATACATGCTACCATCTTTTGTTCCAACAACAAAAACACAAATTTACTCAACGAATTCTTAAGCCAATTTGCATTTTTTTACTGAAGCTGCTCCTTTATGCTAATAAAATACTTTTATTTTTTTTTCTTCTTCAAATATCAATGCTACAAAATTTGTGTATATCTTTATGTTACTCTAACTCATATAAATTGCATTGTTTAATGTCTTCTGTCAACGATTTTATTGCTTTTTGCTTTTTTACACTTTTTTCTTTTACTTTTTATTTAATATCAACTTATATAATGGTTTGTTGCAGCTTCGTTAAAAGCAAAATTTAAAAAAGGAAAAAACAGATAAAGAATAAAAAAGTTAAAATTAAAAATTTATCAGGAGATTGATTGACTAATCACAAAAATTGGTATAGCCTATGTAAAATAATAATACAATAAAACTTTGTTTAAGATCTGTAACTCCATTCACAAAACTTTTTGAATAGAGTCAGACTCTGATTTCATTATAAAAATTTAGTTAAAATGAGCATTCGATGCACTCAATTTACATAGAAAAAACACACCTTTTTAGAAGCTCCTCCAAGTGATACTTTTAAACCAGTTTTATGTTGTCCATCAAAGCTATACATTTTTAAAATCTAAAATTAAATTCTCAAATTATTTAGATAACAACTTAGTATAAGCAATTTTACCACTATTCTTTTACTATTTTTTTACAAATTATATTACTATTGATAATTTTTAGTAATACTAAAAAACAAAATAGTTACACGTATGACATTTTGGCAGTAAAAAAATTTAACATAACCACTAAAAAAAGCTCTGTATATAAAACCCTAAATAAAAAAATTGTGCTTATTTTAAACTTTCTTATTAAAAGTTATAAACAAGAAAATTAATAAAATATATTCTCCGGTCAATACCCCCTAACATGATGATATTTTTCAATGTTTTGCTTAGTCAGCATAATTAAAAGCATATAAAAAAAGTCGACAAAGCAACCGTCCTAACAAACATGATTGTTTTTTGTTTTGTTTTTTGCAAGAGTTGCAAGGTTACAATTCACGTTAGATAAAAAAACAAATGACACCTTTCACCCAACCTTCCAACTCCTTTCAAATATCCCCGGACACATTCTGGGTTTGACCTTAAAATTTTAAAACAGATAAAAGTCCACATAAAATAAATATAAATAACAAACACTTTTTGTATGTGGACAGGGCCACATTGTGAAATGATAGTTTATACAATATTTTTAGTGATAAGTCTTGCTACAAATAATAAGAAATAGCCGTTTAAAAATAAAACTGTTTAATTGTAGAATGTTGTTTGGCTCCTATCAACATTCTATAGGTACTAAAGTACCTATAGAATGTTAATAGGAGCCGATGAAGGGGTCGCCCATAAAGTACGTACGCTTTTGTTTAAACTCGTGCTATAAATATTGACTTTTTAGATACTATTTGTTAAAAGCGTAAACTTTAATTAAATGAAAGCAATCTTTTTTCTCTTTTTCTCAGTTTTGATATTAACTTACTTGCTATGAAATAAAAAATGCTTTTTTTTACTTTGAGTTGATATTTTGCAAACCATAACTTTTTGTATAATTTATTGATTTCGTTTGTTTTTTTAACTATGTAATCTAAAAAGACTTATTTAAATATATTACTATTGCTATTACTAAGTAAAATTGTACAGAAAACGAATAAAAGAGGGGAAAGAACAGATTATTACAGGTTTGAAATAAACAATAATCAAATATAGATGCAGCTACATGGTCCGTTATCGGTTTTATTTATCTGCGCTTTTATCTATTTTCTAAATAGTTTTACTATAGCGCAGATTGTTTTGTCAGAATAATAATAAATATATTATAATAATGAATAAAATAATAGAATAAAATTAATATGTCTTGTATCTAATAGCATATTTTACGATGATTCTAAAAGAAAACGCTTATATGGCATGTATGTATAAAGGATATACGATGCAGAAGCGATTCTGCAAATAAAATGAGGGGGAGGGGTGAATTTTAAAAAACTACCGACTTGCCTCGTAAAAAAAAAAAGTCTTTAAAAGTTAAATTTAGCCGACTGAATTGTGCAGAAGCGATTCTGCAAATAAAATGAGGGGGAGGGGTGAATTTTTAAAAACTACCGACTTGCCTCGTAAAAAAAAAAAGTCTTTAAAAGTTAATTTAGCCGACTGAATTGTTTCAAACACCCGACTAGCCGACTAAATTCAACTAGAGATTTTACGAAAAATTTTACGTTTACTCCCCCCCTCCTTCGCCCGTAAAATCGTCTCTGTATGTATGTATGTATGATATAAAATATATATTATTTATTATGCAATATTTCTGGCAAAAACAATAAATATTAAACAACAAAAGTTATAGGTTATCCTTTATCGCTAAATATAAAATCCGAGGCCGTAGGATTAGTACATTTCTTAAACACAGCAGCTATGTTAGTATTGTAGTTAAAGATTTATTTTCTGTGTTAGAACAATCTTTTTTATTTTTTAATGCAAAGAGATGTAGACGTTTACAAAAAAGTTTGTCATTGATTACAAACTCTTTACAACTTCGTAATTTATTAAAAAACAAGATGGCGCGAACCGAACTAATAAAATCTGTATGAGTTTCATTACTAATAATTATAACTACTCAATGTACAAATGTTAACTGATCTTTATTTAGATAAAAATTTAAAAAAGACAAGCTTTAGGATTATCTTTAAAAATTCTTCCATTTGACTTCTTAGTATCCTAAATACAAAATAAAAATCTTAGCTGAAAGTTTTAAATTTAAAGACCATAACATTATTGCTGCTCTTATGTTGCTAAACAGATTAACTGAAACTTTCAACAGTTTCAGTGCCATAGGCCAAAGCTAATTTAATTAAAAGTTTAACAAAGTATGCCCTTCTGAATCTATTTTTAAACGAATTCGTTGAAGAAAACTATTTCCAAAAATCATTGGTTCCAACCCAAATTCCTACACGATATATTATTTTCATACATTTTACAGATTAGAATTTTACAAATATTTGAAAGAAAGCATTTGAAAAAGTATAATTCAACAATTAAACTATTATTTAGTTTGTTAAAACCATCATTTTGTGCCAAATATTTTATATATATATATCACTTTAAAAAATTAAAAAATTATTTCTTTCAGGTTTTGATGCAATTAATTAAGTGATGCAATTAAATAAGTGATGGATTTATACTGAGTTTATACTGAGATGATGCATTTATAATAAGTGATGGAGTTTATACTGAGTTTTTAGTGTTGATTCATTGTTGCAAAGACGTTTCTAATTTCTCACAGAAACATTTCATTTATCAGAAATGCACAAAAAACCTTTGCCAACTATAAACAAAATATTAAAGTTAATGTTGACAGCACCCATAAGTACATCATCCAGAGCCAAATTTGCGGGACTAATACCTATGAGAAATAACCAAGGTGTTTCTTAAGCAAAAAAATTTTAGACATCATAAAGAAGAAGTTTAAACTGAGATCTTATTATTATTGCAAATATTCTTTGTGTTTGGTTCTTTAGTAATCAACAATGCTATACTTAAATGATTAAATTCTTTATCCTCTGGTGTCCTCACCTGCCATTTTTTAATTGGAATTAAGTATGACAAATGTAGTAAAAATTTAAACAATTGTATCTTTGCGTGTAATTTTTATAACTTTTTGTAAATTACACTTAAGTTATTAAAATCTTTTGATGTTCATAGTTATGATCAAAATACATAGTACCTCATTGTCGTGGCACAAATGATCTTTGGATTGCTAATTTTGGGTGTTTGCATCGCTTTCTGTACTAATTTGAAACTTTTGTTTAAATATTCGTTGGTGAGAGCTATCACAGCCCCATTTTGATTTTTCATTTAAGAATTCTTAACTTCACTTCGTCTAAATATTTACACAAATACATAGATGTGTGATATAAAATATCTTCTAAATTAATTTCACAAGACGTTACTAAAAATGCCATTAATTTTTATGGCGGGTAACATTGTTTTTTCTTTTATTAAAAACTAATAACACGGATATTCGTCTAAATGAAAATAAAACTTTTTCTATATTTGTTTTCCTATTTCAGTGAACTAATATTATCTTTCATTATTCCAAACGCGCCACTATGCCCTGCAACACGTTGACTCATTTGAACAGCAAGCGTTATATATTTGCAAATTATTTGCTAATTCAATGTTTTAGTTTTGAATCTCTAGCTTAGCAAACTCAATAAGCCGGGTGAATAAAAAGAAGCAATTGCTTTTACTCTGTAATTGGTCAAATTTAGTTAAATAAAAATTTTAGCAATTTTGCTTAAATTTTTATTCACGAAAGACTGAGCAATTACTGAGTAAATTGCTTAACTTTACGTGAATAAAATTTTATGGAAAACTGCTAAAGTTTTTATTCACGTAAAGCTGACCAATTACTGAGTAAAAGCAATTGCTTCTTTTTATTCACCCGGCCTAATACCTCGAATTCATTGGATGGTCGGCTAAACTTTTTTATTATTTATGTAGATAGACTTATGCTGGCATAGGTATAAGCAGGAGTTATGAGCCTATATTAGCTATCTATTTTTATTCAATTTGAAATTTGAAAGTTTTTAATGCATTTTTTAGTGAACATTTTTAGGACATTTTGTAATAATTTGAAGATCTTTTAAAACACAAAGATGCTACTTTTTTTTTTTTTTTTTTTTTTTTATTCATCTTCATCATTGGGTGGGATTCTGAAAAAAAAATTAAGTTTTAATTCAAAAAACACTGTTTTTGCCGCATTCAATCAAAATCGTATTTAACAATATGAAAGATTTAATTAGATGTGGAATTTATGTTTAAGTTAAGAACAAAATCTTAGCTTAGCTCGGCTTAGCTAAATACAAAAACACTTTTAAGTATATTATTTGCAAAAGTTAACGTAACATTTTCAGTCTCGAATGTATATGATCGGAAATTTCACTTTATCAATAAAAATAAAGAAAATGTTTATTTTATATGTGCCTACCTATGTGCTTACTTTAACATTTTGTATGACTAATTGAAGATTTTACATCGTGCACATTTAAATAATACTTTTAGAAGTTGTGCTTGACTGGGAGCGTCCAGAACAAAGACAGGCACCTTACGCAATGACCGAGTTCCAATTCCTGTTATAACTGGAGGGGTGTATGTAAGTTACAAACTTTGTCAATCTTTTTTTTTTACTTTTTTTTTGAAGCATCGATAATAAAGAAATAAAAAATCAATAATTGTATTTATTGGTATTCAATTTGATATTTTCTTCTATAATCATTGTTTATTCAAAAAAGCTGTTGAACAAAAAAAATCAACTTTTCGAAAATGATTGTTTTTCGGCAAAATTTAGGTCCGCCGATAGAAAAAATTCAAAGATTCAATAAATTACTTGCATGTATCCAATAAAAATTATTATAATATTCCAGAAAAATATGTTAGGGGATCTATGTATATAAAGATTTTTTGCTAAATCTTTTTTTTTTAGGGGATCTATGTATATAAAGAATTTTTGCTCAGGTCTCAGACAAATGAATTTAAAAGTAATTTTTGAAAAATTACTTTTAAATTCATTTGTCTGAGACCTGAGACCTGATGACAGAGACCTGATGTCGCAATTTTAAATCTTTTGAAAAACACATTAAAAGATTAATTTATAAACGAATGTTTTTGTTGCAAACGCATTTTTTTTGAGGGCGATCTTAAATACAATGTAAATAAAAATGTTAAAAAAATTCTAAACATCGTATTTAAAAATGGGTTTATTCCAACTATAAATAAATCAACTACAATGAATAACTCCAATTGATCAAATAATAATAAATAATTTACAAATACAAAAATTAAAACTAGAAAATTTATATCTTGATATATCAGATCATTTTTCGACACTTATATCTGATATATCGGATCATTTCCCGACACTTATTATTGGAAAAAATTGTGTTGAACAAACTCCTCAAAAATAAAAATTGCAAAACAAACATATAACGACATTAGTATGAAACTTTTAATTAATTCTCTATTTTCTGCAAACTGGGAGGATGTTTCGCAAATTCCAAATGTAAACATTGCTTTTAAATTTTTCTTCCGATATTTCAAAAACACTTAGTTTAAGCTTTTCCGGTGATAGAAAAAATTATTAAAACTATAGCATTTTTAGTTTCTTGGATTAACATTTTTAATTGACAGAAATAATAAAATTATTTTTAAAAAAGTATTAAAATGCATTAAAGTATAAAAAAATATAAACGTCTCTTTGAATTAATTATAAAACGTTCGAAAAAGGCCTTAATATTCAAATCATTACAAAGTACTATTCAAATCACAAGTTCATTTTTAATTTTCAAAAGTTAAAGTTTTTTATTTTTTTTGAGTTGATATTTAAATAACATTAAAAAAAAAAGAAAATAGTACTACAGTAGTAGTGCAAAAGTCTCCCAAAGAAAAGAAAGAAGATTCTTGTATTATCAAGAAGAGTTAAACACGGATCAGTCAAACTGATCCTTCGCTACGCCACTGTATTGGTAGCGTAGCGGTAAAAAATAGTCCTCCCACAAATTATAATCCGGGCCCTCTGCTCTCCCCCTCCCCTTCCTTTTTATCGACAAAAAATAGTTCATGAAAACAAACCCTTATTTTAAATACAGTTTTAATTTAATTAAATTGAAAGCAGAATGTTACACTACGTAAGTCAAGTAAGTAAAAAATCTGATAAAAGCTTTTTTCTTGTCTTTATAGCTGCAAATTGGACTATAATACCTTTTAAATTTAATTGAGCTGCTCTCCCCCTCCCCTTCCTTACTGCCTCAGTAGCTATTAGGTCTAGTGCAGACAAAATGTTTTGTGTCATTGTTGTCCTTAAATGTATTTTAATGTGCTTAAGGATCTTTTTGCAGTTGTTACGCTAATGGGTAATGCCAAATATGTATAAGTGCTGCTATTATATTTTAATGTTTAATGAGCTACTTATATTGTCATATTTTATTCTGGACACGGGTAAAATGTAAAAGTGCATTTTACCCGTGCGTTGCGTTGAATAGATTTAACCAAAGTTTTATTAGTTTTTAAATAAGAAGCCTAAGTAAACAATATATATTTATGGTGTGGTCTAATGAAAACTTTATATAACTTGAGAGACATTTTTTCATCAAAGAAAGCATTTTGGTAGAGCATTTTAGAGATTGATTTATTATACCTTTTTATTTTGCTTCCCATTTATTCCAAAATATCTTAATTTTAACATTAGTCTGTTTTGAGGTAGAGAATCAACGAAATCGAGATTACATCAATAAATTGATGAAATAAAAGATGAAATAATACCAAAAGTCTCTATTAGATTTGTCACGCATAATTTATGGTGAAGAAAGTCATGTTGATTTGCAGAGGGCATTTTATTATCGCTAATGGGCTTAAAGATCTTGTTCTTAACAAATACTTTGACTATTTTGCACACAACAGAGTTAGTGAAATAGATTGATTTTAATTAATTTATTTTCCATTTTTTTATAGACCAAACTAAAATTTGCTAATTTCTAGAGAAAGAGTAGTATTTCAGAATTAAAGAATTTATGAAAGATTTTTGTAAATAGAAAAAATATTTATAGGGGTTTAGACTGGTAAGTTAATAATGTCTGAAATAGAAAAACCCAAGTTGTGATTATAAGTTTATTTAGGTTAGTTTCACTTTTTTTAACGATGAAAGTTATTCAGAGGGATATTAATATTGTTTATTTTGCTCTTTTTGTTTTAAATATTTCAGCTTTTACGGAACGATTAAAAAGATAACAGTTTAATTTAAATTTATTACTGTAAATTTCACTAAATTATAATTTAGTGAAGTTTGCAATGAGTACCCTTTTTTGACCAAGTTTTTACAGAACAACTTGTCGAGTACTATACCGATAACAATCTTTTTGTTACAAAAAATAGATTAAAATAAATTTCTTCTCAATTAAATACTGCGGACTGTATTTGCGAAAAAAAGTTTTCAGCTATTGTTAACTAACAGAAGCCTATACTAGAGCAATTTACTAGAACACTAGAGCAATTTACTAGAACACTAGAGCAATTTACTAGAACACTAGAGCAATTTACTAGAACAGTTAAAATATAATCATAACTATTTTTACTCACAATTTGTTTTTCAATAAAACGCGATCAATAAGATTTAAGTATAACAACGATGCAGTGACGGATTCAGCATTTTTTAACTAAAGCTAACTTCCGACATGGAGCAAACTCCAATTATTTGTATGCTTATATTTATGTCAAACAATGATGCTTTGCAAAAAAATTGCGATGATTGAAGGGTGGGAACAAAAAGTTTTAAAATTTAATCTCCTTTATACTTATTTCTATTATAAATGCAATATTAATTTTATCTTTTTTGCAAATCTTCTGTAACTCATATTGCAATTAAATGCAATTCAAAATTTTAAACAACTCAAAATACACAAATGACGAATGATCAATATTATAATTAAAAAAGAAACTTTAATAAAATCTTTTGTTTTTATTATTTTATTTGCACCAAATTCTCAAAGAATTGATTTTAAAATATATAAAAAAAAAAGTTTTTTGGTTCCAAGAAAAAAAAAAGTCACGATTCGCAAGACCTAATTTTTTTTAATGGCCCGGGGTTGCAGCTCCATTAACCACCGTAAAAACTTAGTTGCGCAAAATTTCGTCATCTAATAAGACAGGACAGGCGAATAAAAACATTGGCTGAAATACTGGTATTAAGAAACAAAAACTTATCTCCTAAATTCAAAACTTTTTAGGACGGAACAATATCATAGCATTACCAAAATTAGAATCATTGAGTAGAGCAGCAGCCAATGTTTCAACAGGTCAAATTAAACATTTTTATGAAAAATAATGACCTTTTTTTTCTTTCTGAAAACCAAATATTTAGAGCTTTTCACAGTCCAAGTGCCTTCATAAATTTTAACAAGACTTACACTAAATTTGGACTTTGAAAAGTTTTTATTAAAAAAAATACCAGTTACCTACTGTTTTTCTGCCGACGGAGAAATGTTTCGATTTCAAATTATATTTAATAATTCATTTAGTCGGATGCATATAGACTAGATAGACTAGATAGACTTATAGAAAAATTGGTGCCAATTTTCTTTTAACTCAAACATTTTTTTTTTTAATAATAGATGGCAAATAAAAGAGTCTTTCCAGAACAACTTAAAAAAAATAGAAAATAGTAGAAGAATTGAGTGAAAAGTTGAGTGACTGGTGTCAACGAGTTATGATAACACAGCAGTCATATAAACTACAACTTGTTTCACTGGTGTAGAAAAAAGCAAATTCACAAAATAAGCTTTTACCGAATTGTACGCAAATTTTAGAAATGGCTGACGTTTCTACCATTAGAACAATGAAACATCTTTGCGAAAAGAAGTATTTGATAAGAAAAGAATTTTTTTATAAAAAAAAAGAAATTAATCAGATATATTTTTAAAATTTTTAAAATTGATGAATAACTGCATCATAAAACCAGAATAAATAAACAGATTTCGAGGCACGGGAATTTATAGATTTAAATATCAAAATGTAAAAAAAATTGCTGTTTTGGAAGAAACATACCGGCTGAAGCGGTTAAAAATGTAACAGTCATCAACGAAGCCATAATTCCTAATTGAAGGTAATACGTTTTTCAATTTTAGTTTCTAAGTATACATATTGGTAAACGTAATTTTTGTTGCTTAAAGAGTATCATATTTAAAATTCTTATATTTAAAAACAAATAAGAACAATTAAGACACAGTTTTATTATTAAACGTTATAAAAATCAAATAAAAATTCGGAATAAGTTTCACTTTTTTTTACAATCTATGAATAGATTGTAATTTGTCAATAGTATTGACTGAATTCAGACAGTAATTTTACAAAAAAGTTTTAACTGCATTTCAAGAAAATAAAATATGAGAGTTTCTCCCTTTCAATTCATCGTTTGAGATTACACTACTAAAGAATGACGGTGATACTACTTTAAATTTGATTATTATAGAACAGCAGATAGGTATACTTACTTGTAAATATTCAAATTTAAGTTGCTCTTTTTCTCCTTTGACAATTTTCTTTATTCAACTTTCATCCAATCCTATGACAAAAATATGCGAATCATTGAAAGATGTTTTTGTTTATGCGACACAATGATCGCAAAAAGTGACCAACGGAGCCGTCCAGTTACGTAGACCTGGGAGATGTGAAAATAAAAACCCCTCCTCAGAAATAAAAATCCCCCTCCTCAGGAATGCACTGCGATCACCAATGACGTTTCGGAGAGCCCGAGGCCTGCACTAACGCCACTCGTCAGGGGCGTGTCCTTGCAACAGATCTCACCGCCTGCACTCCTGGCTCCTATCACACTCCTATCACAAAAATATGCGAATCATTGAAAGATGTTTTTCAAGTAAAATAATCATTTAAACTAAGAGGAGATTCAAAAAAATGAACAATGGTGTATTTTCAAGTTAGCAAATTATTGAAGAGTTTGAGGGAAAAAATTAGGCCAAAGTAAAGACATAAAAGGTAAATAATAAATGAAATCTTTCATTTTTTCATTTAAATTTTTCTGGTTTTGAAATAAAAAATTAAAAATAAATAAAGAAGAAGCGCCTAACTGTGTCCTTTAATCAAACAACGGACAGGGTAATTGTTCTCTAAAACTAAATTCATAACTAAGTTCTATTAAGTTACTAAGTTTAAAAAATATCTTAATGACATCATTAAAAATTGTATTTTTGCTTATTTTATTGCTTTTTAATACATTGCTATTGTTATTAATAAAAAAATATTTGAATCTGCGTAAAAAGTGTTTTTGTACCATAAATTGCAATCGTTATTATTGGAAGACTCGAAAGTTATTCACACTGTGTCTGACTCTGTACCAACTGGACTCTGTGTTCCCTATGCATGCTTAGTCTAATTTACCGTTGGTAAAGGTGACTAAGCATAAAAATTTAAAGGTAAAATTTAAAGGTATTATCGTACTTAGACGATTTGACGTACTACTTGCATTTAAAGCGTAACGTTTTAGTTTAAAAAACTAACTTGATTTGTTTACGGGTAAAAAAAAACTTCTGGTCGTAAACAAATCAACTTATTTTTTCATACCAAAAAAAAAATTATTTAACGGCCAAAGGTTAAATTGCATTATAAAATGAGATATTTTATTATTAAATTTCGTAAAAGTAAATAGATAAAATATTAGATTCGAATTTTATAGACGATAAAATATGTGCTTTATCACTTTATAATAATGGACTAAAAGTTGAGTAATAGTCTTAAAACCCTAAAATCTTTTTATTGGATTTAAATTTTTATTGGACTTTAACTTTTCTTGTTGAAAAACCGGCAACAGCCATTTAATAAAACGTTTATCGTATTTTGAGTAAATAAGCTAATTCCGCTGATCTCTATAAATATAATTATAGAGATCAGTGAGCCAATTCAATTAGCAAAAAGTAAATAAAATTCAATGAGCGAAAAGTAAATATAATTTGATGACCGGATTTTGCCGAGATGTCTGATAATGACGAGTTTTCTGAGTTGTCGAAATGTTAAAAATTAAAATGTTTTTGTTTATGCGGACGGTTTGGAATAATCGTTAAAAAATAATAATAATAAGTTAAAAAATATTAAGTTCGAATAAATAGTGTTCAATTTATTTTCATTTAAGTAAATGGAAAAATGCGGTTTAAAGAAATCATGGATTAATTCTTTAGTATCCTTCGCGACTTTCATTACTCATTACTAATCAATACTTTTTTCTAAATCATATAGAAAAAAAGGAAATTTTTTCTCAGACCAAAAAATTTTTTTTTTTCTTAGATAAAAATTTCCTTTGTTAATTCTGTTCTGCTTTTTTACTTATCATCTTACACAAAGCTATGCAGCTGTTAGAAATATACTTATTAATTTACTATTATAATAATATTTGATTATATTACAAGTATAACATACAAACAAATATATTTACTGCATATAAAATGTTAGTACTATCTAGCTTTAAGTTTATACGGACCCTACCTAAACAAACCTAGCCAATTGATGTTTGCACTGATGTTTCACAGATAGCTGTTTCAGCACTATGTCATCATTGCCATATGATATGGCATGATATGTAAACTTTCCATCTAAAGTTGGTTTTTAAGATTAAGATAATTAAATAAGATTTAATTATCTTAATCTTAATATATATAATATATATATATATATATATATATATATATATATATATATATATATATATATATATATATATATATATATATATATATATGTATATATATATTATAAATATAAATATATAACGTATATATATATATATATATATATATATATATATATATATATATATATATATATATATATATATATTATATATATATATATATATATATATATATATATATATATATATATATATATATATATATATATATATATATATATATATATATATCTATATATATATATATATATGTTATATATTTATATTTATATATATATATATATATATATATATATATATATATATATATATATATATATATATATATATATATATATATATATATATATATATATATATATATATTCATTGTAGTTTTATAAAATATTATTTTTAGGTATATGCTCATGCAGTGATAAATTTTAAATTGGATCAGTTTTTATCAAAAACTTATTAAAATGTCACAAACACTACTTGAAGGTAACATATTTTTTCTGAATTTTTTAAAATTATTGTTCTAATTTTGAAAAAATGCATTAAAAATAAAACTATAGCGCTGACCAAAGAAAAATATATTATTTTTATTCATTTTTTGTTGATAATTGTCATTTCTTTTAAATCTAAAATAATTTTTTTTTTAACCCTAGTATATATATGGTATATATATGTACACTAGGGATATGACAATTTTGCAACCCTGTATCCCTATACTCAATTTAGTGGAGTTTTTATGCAAAAATTAAGAAAATATTAAACACTTATACTGATAACAAAAAAGTTCACCCTCTATTTAAAAAGAAGATTTATAGAATATAAAAAATGTACTTTTGCAACACATGTTCCAGTACTTTACAGAAAACCAATAAAACATGAATAATCAAAATAATTTTACAGTGTATTTGACAATAAATATTTAGTGTTAAGTTTTTTTATGCCATGACATAAAGGCACTAAATCTTGCATCACTTTTACAGCATGTTTTGCACATATCTTTGGGTAATGTGTTAGAATTGGTGTTGGCTCTGTGGAACAAAACGTCTTCAACAATTTTAATGCTTTTAGATGCTCATTGTATGCTTTTAATAGATTAACAAAATCTGCAAGATTGAAGTAGTGATCACCAAACTATATATCACTCCATGAACCACAGATGAAGTCGCATGCTGCTTGCGCAGATTTAAATTCTTGATAGCCTGGTATTAGAATGTAAGCAAGGAGAACAAAAGTTGCTCTCAAGCAATTTTTGTTTTACTTGCATTGTTTATAGCAGGAAGTGATTTGAAATTCTTTTTTGGAAAGGTACCTGTGCTTTTAAACTTTCTATAACAAGGTATTAAGTGATGCAGGAGGTCCACGTCATCTTGCCAGCGTGTCCAATTCACTTTCGTCCAAGGATTTCAAGTATTCTGAAATAATAACTTCATGTTCTTGTACTCTTGCAGTAATCTTGTCACAAAATGGTAATGAAGGTTTGGTGATGTTGTTAATCTTTCAAAAAGATCATTTATGAAATGTTTTAAATGAGCATCTAAAACATGGCGTTGGCATCCTATAAAAGCATATGTTGTGTCAGATATAATCATTTTTATGGCTGTCCACAGCTCATTCATCCACAAGCTTTATCCAAATAAATTTTGTTTTACCTTTTCCCAATCATCAGCTCTAGAACAGCAAGCCTAACCTCTCTCTTTTCATTTCTCAAAACAATTATTTGATGTTCCATTTTCTTTATGTTCATCAAAGTGTAAAGATTACTTTTCATTTTTTAAGTTTTTTTTTAAGTTCTTATCTTTTAAGAATTTGCTTTCGATTTTTCTCCTTCTTTCATGATGTCTTTGTAGACACCACTTTGAGTTGGAGTAGGAATAGAAATAACTTTTTTATAGAGTTTTGCAGACTTTATGTGCTTTTTCAGTCTAATATTCACAGAAATCACTAAATTTACAGCCAAATATGTTTGAATGATGATGACAAAATTTTGACATCTTCAGTTTCAGTATCACTGCTGGAACACTGCTCTTCAGTTTCTGAATGACGTCCTTCACTAGCTGATTTATCCAAATCTTAATCTTGACTGAAGGACGTTTGTTTCTTTAACAACACTAGTTTTCTTGGATGAATACCTTCAGTATGTTCAATTTTGGTACAATATCCGACTCCATTTGTTGACATTTGCAGACCATAAAATCTTTTATCTTCCTAATACAGTCATTCACCTTTCTCATCAGTCATGTTAAACAATTGGGTAAAATTTTGAGTTCTGAGTTTTTGACTATCTTTGTCAAGTTTTTTCAATACATTTTCTATTTTTCTTTCTGATGCTGATTTCCCATATAGAATTGGAATATTCAGCTTTCTCCATAGTAGTTCGGTTTCTTTAGCCAAACTTGCAACTCTCTCCTTTCTACTTTTCACATTTGATGACAAACTTAATTTAAATCGATCAAATATATGCTGTTCTGTTGGCATTTTATTCATATCACCAATACTTTTAACAACAGCACATCTTCTTGAAGTCTTAGCTTTTTCAAAACTTACTAAATTTGATTCCAAACTTTCTTATTCTTGTATCAAGCACGACCATTTTTGGCAATTTTTGTATGTTTATTACATAATTCATAACTCATAAAGATAACACAAAAAAGATAGGAAAAATTATTTTCAGCTTGGGGGTGATCTTTTTCAAAAGTTAACATCAAAAACTAATATTTTCTTTTTATAAATATAATTTCTCCACTCATGGTAAAAAAGAGAATTGAAAATTCTTAAAAAATTTTTTAGTCTTACCCCCAAAATACATGCACACACACACACACACACACCCACAAACACACACACACGTATATATATATATATATATATATATATATATATATATATATATATATATATATATATATATATATATATATATATATATATACATAACACAAAAAGTACTTTTGCATACTTTTGCTGCATAAAAATACATTGCATGATCAATATTTTTACCAACCTTTATCTCTGTATGTGGTTTGTTGTTATTTATCTATTACTTATATTTATTATAATTTCGTTTACTATTAGGAACCAGCCAAGTTTGTGATATTCTTGAAAGGTTCCGCCATAATCTTAAATCAGAAGGAAATTATGAACATGATAAAGATCTAGCTGATATGATTTCAATGCTTGATTCTCCATTATTTAAGCAAATTGTAACAGTTCATGACTCTCTTAATGAACTCAATAAGAAATTTCAAACTACTAGAGATATTAGCATCAATGACTTTGATTTTTCACCAACTGGAGAGCTTATTTGGAATCGGAAAAGAAGTAATAAAGTTTTACATTTAATTTTAGGAGATTTGTATTATAATTTAAGTTTAAAAAATATTTTAGTTTTAATTTAATTTTATCTTTATGTACATATATAGGGCACATTATCACAATTGAAAATGAGTCAATGTCTGACCAAATCATAGGTTGTTTGATTGAACCTTTATTGGGCATTGGACAGCAGAAATGTTTGTTTACCCAACTGCTGACTGTTGCCAAACAAATATTTCTACTAAAACCGAAACATGCAGTTGAAATATTAAAAACTTGTTTTTAAATGACTTTCAGTTTTTAAAAAATATTTTTTTAATAGCCCATCTTACTTTTAATAAAATATCTTTTGACAATCAATACATATTTTGAGCTTCTTGATCTACTAATATTTTTTAACTGTAATATCAGAAAGTTTCTATATTGCCATAGATTAATACAAAGCAGGATTTAAAAAAATTTCCCATATAGTCTGGTATGCTAGTCTTCTTCTCAATTAAATCTTTCTTTACTAGTAGCAGAATTGAATTTATTCTTTAAGGGTAATACTCTTCTTTACTTATTAATCCCAGTGATATCACTAGGTTTAATACTTAACCTAATATTTCTAATCTACATAAATAATTTTTGCAACTATCATAAAATTAGCTCTATTTACTGATTATAATTTACTGATTATCTTAAGATAGAAATTGTATAAAAATCATAATCAGGTATAAATTTTAATCTTGATAAATAGTCATCTTTTTTTTATTACTTAAGCCAATTTTGAATGGGATTTTTTTTTGTAAAAAGTAGGTGTTGTTTAAAAAAATATTTTTTGCTCATTAAATACATTTATGAAAAAATATGAAAACACTTTTGTATATGAATTATTTTATTTAAAATTTAAATAAAATGATTATTTTTCCTATTTTAATGTAGTTGTTTTATTTAGATTTTAAATATTTTTTTTTATTTTTTATTTAGATTTTAAATATTTTTCTCTTTTTATATTATTTTAACCAGCGATGCAAAGTCCTATAGATTTTTAGGAACTCCGGGACTCTCGGATCAAAAATTAGGAATTCCTTAGACTCCGAACTCCAACCTTTTTTTTAAATCTTTTTTGAGTTAATTAACAAGAGTTTTTAGGTATGAAATCTATTCTTCATCAATAAGGCTGGCACAGATGTTGCATGCTGGATCTTCTTGACTCAATTCGGTTTTGCTTGTGTCTCCGTTTTTATGACCAGCCAATTCATTCTATTATCATCTAATGAAGGTACAGCTCTAAAACTCTGTTTAGTCTTATCTATTACAAATTTCCCTAGACCTACTTGCTCTTTGTGAGACTAATTTGGGTTTGGCTGTCTGATCTTGTAATTTTAGTGTTAATGGTTATCTTCCTTTAATTTGTTAAGATTCCAATGATCACTTGGACTTTTTTTTCGGCATTTACATTTGTAAGAATTCACCCATTTGTTGAGAAACTAGGTTTGAATTCACTAACTATTCTTTCATGTGCTTTCGTTTAGCACCACTTTAGCCTAACGTCTTTTTCTTTGTTCTATATCGCCCTCTTTTATCTCAAGACTGCATTCTTTTTTCACTGTTATCAGAATCCCCCTATCATTGTACCACTTACAATTACCGTAAAACTGCCTGGGACTTTTTGTGATTTTCTTTGTGATGGCCCTTGGGTAAAAATCTATCGTTTTCCTGCTGACAAATACGCTTTTTACATAACTTTGTGGATTCAAGCTGGCATGGAATCTTTTATTCCCTCTTGATGATTCCAGGTCAAACGCCACTCTTCTCCATAATTTTCCTTACCTTGTGCTGCTGCAATTTTCAATTGAAATCGTTACTTCCATATCTATCAGCAAAACCTCTGTTTACTATTGCTAGAAACCATTGTAAGAAGGTTTTGTCTAACGCGATAGTTTGCTATTCTCAGGTCATGAAATCTTGTATTTCATCTTAAAAATTAGGCTCTTGTGACTTCTGAAGAATCTTTAACAGTATCAATAATAAGAGCCAGGGGCTATTATAGACCATTTTTAACAGCGTCGACTGTATTTGGGTGCCGATAAAAATTTGAGTACCTTTTTTTTTTTTTACGTTTTTTACAGCAAATAGTTTTTTTTTTTTAGTGAAAAAACACATATTTTCCGCTAACTTTCTCTGGGAAGGAGGAGAACCGCCGCCCAAATTTTTTCCTAGAATAGGCCCTGAGAGCCAATCTGTTATTTCACCTCTCTTGTATGGTTCAGATTTTGTCAGCTCACCTAAAGACAAAACTGAATTGTTTGCTAAGAACTTTTCATCAATATCATCACTTGATTCTGCTAGTTGCGTTCTACCTGATATAGCTCACAAACAGGTTGATCCATTGCTTGACATTCAAATCAGTCCAGCTTCTGTATCTAAAGTAATTTCCTGCTTAGACTCTTCTACAGCTTCTACAGACAACATGCTTGTTATAGTTTTGCAGAAGTGTTTTTTGGAGCTGTTGTCTATACTTTCAAAACTGTTAAGTAAGTGCTTTTCAGAGCGGTATCTGTTATTGCTATTTTCAAAATTTCTGGAGAGCAATCTGATTCGTCTAACTACCCTCCCATTAGTCTTTTTTCTATCATAAGCAAGGTTTTTGAGTCTTTGATTAATCTAGAATCTAATAACTTACTTTCTGATCATCAATATGGATTTTGAACTCGTTCTACAGCTGATCTGCAAACAGTAATAACTGATAGGTTATATGGCACATTAGAGAGAGGTGGAGAAGTTAAAAGGTTCAGAAATGTCAATAGCTATTGCTCTTGACATTTCTAAAGCTTTTGATAAAGTTTTGCATGCTGGTCTTCTCCATAAGCTTTCTTCTTACAGTGTATCAGGTATCATCTTGAAGATTATTGAATCCTTTCTTGTAGTATTGTAGTATAAAAGTTATCCTGGATTGGTAGCACTCTTCTATATTTCCAGTAACTTCAGGGGTTTCTCAAGGTTCTATTCTTGGCCCTATACTCTTTTTAATTCTCATTAACAATCTTCCAGGCATTATTCGCTGGTGACACTACCATTAATTCATGTCTTAATAAGAAGCCAACATTCTTTTATTGCTTTGAGGGGACATTTGAGCTTGAAAAGGATCTCAATTCTCCTACAGCATGGGGCTCACAGTGGCTGGTAAAATTTAGTTCAGATAAAACCCAATTTTTTTTCAGCCAATCGTTATTGCAAAAATTTAAATTTTCCTATATTTATGATTAGTAATGTACATGATGAGTCATCTACCCTTCATCTTCTAGGATTAACTCTTACTTCCGATCTTTCTCAGAAACCATATATCAAATCCATTGAAAAATTACCATCTGCTAAGGTTGCATCTTTTTATCGTGCTCAAGAATTATTTACTCCGGATTCTATTCTTTATCTCTATAAATCTTAAATCTGTCCTTGTATGGAATACTGTTGCCATATCTGGGACAGATCTTTTAATGATACCCATTTCTCTTATAGATAAGGTGCAAAAGCGCATTGTAAACATAGTTGGACCTGCTCTTGCAGCCAACCTCCAACCATTATCACATTGTCGTAATGTTGCTTCTCTTTTTCTTTTCTACAAATACTTTAATGGGCACTACTCTAAAGAGCTAGTGTCTCTTTTGCCATCTACTAAAACTCATTATCGTGTTACTCGTGATTCAATTAGGTCTCATCCTTTTTCTGTGACTGTTCCTAAGTGCTCTAAAATTTGGAATTCACTTCCTTCATCTTGCTTTCCTGATTCATATGATTTGCAATCCTTTAAGTTTCTGTCAATCTTTATCTTGCTCTATAATTTTAATTTTTTTTCTTCCAACTCTAATAGTGGTTGCTTGCAGCCTTGTTGGAAGCAAAGATGTTGAAAAAAAAAATAGGAAGAAAATCCTAGAGAAGACCATGCAAAGTTTCAAATATGCTGTAAAAAATTATAATTTATGTTTGATTTCATTTCTTCACTCAAAAAGTAACAATTTCTTTTAGGTTGACATAACTAATCAAATAACCTTCAAAAACCCACTAAACGTATATTTAAACCAAATTGTTGTAAAAATCGTTTTTGTTTAATTTAAATGATAAATTATAGAAAATTAAAGCATATTACGAATTTTGTTCTAACAACATACTCAGACACATTTCAAAGGTTTCAATTGCTACACTTGTATAATGATACTTTTCAACTGTGTTTAAAAAGACTTTGAGAACTCTAACCACTGCAGCAAGGTTTCATGTAAATATTTGTGCCTAAGCTAAGATTCTGTTAGTTTTTTCTTAGGAATGCAAATCACCAAACTAATTAAAATTAAAATTCTTATGCATTCTCCTGCGGAAAAACTGGGACAATAACAACCATAGCTTAAAGATAATCCAGCAACTATCAGTGTTCACCAAGGGTTTTGTGTACTGCATATGTTGTGGCTCTCCTTATATATTCTTTTTAAGCAATCTCTGCTTTAGACATTTTTCAATATTTTATATGCCAGAGAGGTTGCCATATGCAGCATTATTGAATGCATTCACGCTTTTACTGGTTTAAAGTTATGTAACTGTTAGCTAAACAAAATTAAATTAATAAACTTATAGAAGTTAATAAGGGTTAATTATGAAATATTAATATGCTGATATAAAATTTAAAAAATTGTGGAGTCCCTAACAATTTTTTTGACAGGGATGACTTCGGAGGTAGCTCGGATTTTTGGTAAAAATAGGAATTCGTGGACTCCAGTTATATATAGGGGATTTAAAACAGGGGATTTAAATAGGGGTGATTTAAAATGGGGGACTTCGTATTTTGGGTAAAAATAGGAACTCCTGGACTCCAGTTATATAACTTTAAACCAGTAAAAGCTTAAATGCATTGAATAAGACTGTGGATGGCAACCCCTCTGGTATATAAAACATTAAACAATGTGCAGAGTGTTTATAACTCTGGCTTTCCATCTGTTTAAAACTTATATAAAAATGTTTGTTTTGATGTTGATTTTTTAAAAATAAAACCTTTGTTTTGTTTTTATTTTTTCCATAATTGTTGTTTTAAATATTTATATGAAACATTTTTTATTTTTTTGCTGTTTTAACTTGAGTTACTATATTTGAAATTAAAAAAAAATACGTAAAACAAACATGTTTGTTTTGCTCTTTTTTTAAAAAATTGTTTTGCTCAATATTTATATAAAACATTTTTATTTTAATTATTTAATCTAGAGTTTAAATAAAGAGTTTAAATAAAGACTGTAATATGTCCTGATAAATAGCAACTTTCATATTGACTATCAAACTTTATATTTTTTATAATTATTATAAAAAAGGTAAAGTAGAAGAGTCTATAGTTTAATATAGCTGTCTTTACTGTAGATAGCTATAGCAAACTATAGCATAGTTTACTATAGCTATCCACAGTGACTTCAGTACATACAATAAATGGTGGTTTGGATTTGGGTAGGCAGTGTCTTTGTATGAAGAAAATTTATTACAGCATATTATATATATATATATATATATATATATATATATATATATATATATATATATATATATATATATATATATATATATATATATATATATATATATATGTATATATATATATATATATATATATGTGTGTTAATTTTGTAAAGGGTTACAAATACATCGGGGACATAAGCTTGATACATTCGTACATAAAACACAAAACATTAAATACATTTAGTTAGTTAAACATTTAATGCATCCATTTCTTTCAAAAGCAGTTTAAAGTTCGAAAAACAATTTTTAAAATTTATTATGCGAGCTGCATGTTTCTGATATCGACAAAGAGATTTAAGTTTAGTTTTATGTGTAGTTCCCCATATAATATTTGCATAATTGATATGACAGTGAATAAAAGAGTAATATAATTGCGTTAATTGCTTTTTATTTAAAATACCCCTAGATTTGTACAGTATTCCAATGTTTTTTGCAACTTAATTAAAAATATTATTAATGTGTGATTTTCAAGACAGATTTTCTTCAATAAATACTCCTAAAAATTTAGTCACTTTCTCTTTTTAGGATGACATTGCCTATAAAAAGATCAGACATATTTACAGACAGTATCTGTTTTTTATAGTTTGGATGGAAAAGTATCCATTTTGTTTTTTCAATATTTTAAGATAAATTTTTTTTGAAATAAAATGAAATTTTTTCAAGTTCTCTGTTCATATTATTAAAAAGTATGTTTATATTTTCATGTGATTGAAACAAGTTTGTGTCGTCTGCAAAAATTATAGTCTTTAAATTGGATGCTTTGTTAAGATCATTTATATATATAATAAAAAGAAGTGGTCCAAGTATGGATCCTTGTGAGACACCATGTGTTATGTTCATTAATGTTTGAGGTTGGGAATCTTTATAAAAAAAAATGCTTTCAGTTGGAGAGATAAATTTTGAACCAACTTAAAGTTTTACCTGCTATTCCATAACATTCAACATAACATTATATATGTATATATATACATTCATCAAAAAACTTTGTCAAATAATGCTTTTATACAGTAACACAAATGCTACACCGCCAAATTGTTTACAACAAATTTGGGCTTAAGAATAATGGCCAATAAAATTATGTTGTAATATAATTAAGTTTAAATTATTATTAAAATTTATAATAAAATTTTGTCATGAAAATACCATTACTGCAGAGGTAAAGCCAAAACAGTTTTTTTAAGTTAGCAAATACTTTGTAAAACAGGTTTTCTTTAATTCAAAAGTATTTTTTATCTTAACAGTTTTTGTAGTAAATAGTTATTTTCCTTGCTAATTGAAGTTGTCATAAAAATTGATTTTTATATATTTTTATAACAAAACACTTCTAAAGTATTGAAAATAAAATCAAAATTTTATTGCAGATGATAGTTTTGATGGAAGATTTCTTAAAATTAATGGTGTACAAGATTTTGATGCAAGTGATGGTAAGTGCAGAGAATTTTTTATTATTTCTAATGTAAATGTTTATACAAATATTCATGATAGGATGCATTTTTTTCTTATGAATTTTCCTGACAGATAGCTTTCTTACACAGCTTGCATTTAAAAAGATGTTTGATGTGTCTTTTATTAATTCATACATAAACACGCAGCGATAAGTATTCCCCTTAATTTTCATTTTTTTCTTTTTACCACAAAAAGGGTATGGATATAGGTGGGCATAAAAAGTTTGGCAAATGCAACTTTATATATGCAGAAATATATATATATATATATATATATATATATATATATATATATATATATATATATATATATATATACAGTGGCGGATTAAGACTTCTTGGGGCCCAGGGCTATTTTTGTTTTTGGAGGCCTTTTTATGGGCTCAGAGCCTAAAAATGACTAAAAAAAAAAAAAAAGGTCCTCTAAAATTTTTTGGGGCCCCTAAATTTGCAGGTCCTGGGGCTATAGCCCCCCTAGCCCCCTTGATCCGGCACTGTATATATATATATATGTATGTATATATATATATATATATATATATATATATATATATATATATATATATATATATATATATATATATATATATGTATATATACATACATACATACATACATACATACATACATACATACATATAGAAAAGGAGAAATAAAAACCGAGAGTTTTTTTAATATTCCACAATCTGTTAATTATATAAAGCTGATGTGATTATTATAAAGTATAATTTTTCTGAACTATTATTTTTTGCAAAATAAAACCTGTAAATATAATGGAAGGCATTACAAGAGCTATATTGCTTCAAGGGTAAATTAAAGCAAAAAAATTAATAATAGAGTTATATATAAAAAAACTAATAATAGAGTTATATTATATTTTAAATGTGTTCTGCAAATAGAGTGCTCAATGTTCTTAAAAGAACAGAGCAATAATATATTAGTAGAAGATTACTTATCAAACTTATTTTATTTTACATTGATTTTTATCAATGAAGACTCATCAGAAATTTTTGGTATAAATTGAAGTTTTTTTTATTTGAACACTCATTTCTTATGAGTCTTGATGAAACACAGTGTAAATTGAAATAAGTTTAATGAGTGATTTTCTACTAATTTATATACTCATATATATATACAGCCCTCAGAATTAGGGTCAGGATTCGGCAATGCTGACCTAACTGTATACCTAAAAGTGTTTCAGGTAGACAAAAAATTGCCAACCTTGTTTCTATGTTTTATGGTAAAACTTTTGTATCAAGTATCATCTATATATATATATATATATATATATATATATATATATATATATATATATATATATATATATATATATATATATATATTATATATATATATATATATATATATATATATATATATATATATATGTATATGTATATATATATATATATATATATATATATATATATATATATATATATATATATATATATATATATATTTATATTATATATATATATATATATATATATATTATATATACATATATATATTTATATATATATGTATATATATTTACATAAATATATATGAATATATTTGTAATTATGTTTTTTATATTTTCAGACATTTTTTTTATAGACACTGATTTTGATGATTCAATCCTTGTTGATTCTGATTACTATAACGATAAATATTTTGTGAATGGAGTTTTATTAGCTGGATATGGAAGACACATAGAAACTATTAAATTAGAAAAACCAAATTTTGGAGGACTTGGTTTTAGTGTTGTTGGACTAAAAAGTGAAAACCGCGGTGAACTGGGGATCTTTGTTCAAAACTTACAGCTAGGTGGAATAGCTGAAAGGTAATTTTTAGATTTTTTATTAAATTAATGAATAAAAAAATTTAATTTAAAAAAAGGTTTGATAACTTATTCTTATTTTAATTGAATCAAATTAATTTTAACAAAGTTGTTAAATTAGTTTTAAATAAGTTAGTTTTGAAATTTATTTTGTTTATAAATTATTACTATATCTTTTTGTTCCCATTTAATTTTATTATGATTTGTTTAATTTTTATAACAGATTTATAATTATAATCTATTCAAATATTGTTTATCATGCTTAAAGGAAAAATATTAGACATAAGAAAATATTAGTAAACAGTAAATATTAGTAAAACAGTTGTTGTTGTTTTTTGTTTTTGTTTTGTTTTCTGATGTTTTTTTATTTAACTTTAGGGATGGCCGTCTACAAGTATCTGATCAAATATTAGCAATTAATGGAAAACTTGTAGACACAGCAAAATCTCACCAGGAGGCAATTTCGTTTTTACAGCAGATCAAGGGAACAATAGAAATTATTATTGCTCGTGGTGATTCACAAAGTCTTAATATGTTACCAGAGAATGATCAGTCACTTTTTAATTATGCACCAGAGGCACAAAGTCCTAATGTATTTAGATTGGTATTTTATTTGGTTCTTATGATTTTAAACTAATAGGTCTTTTGTATATATTAGCCCAGTAGTTGATTTCATTGTACCAGGTAGGCGATAAGTTTTCAATTTGTTTGTATCAGGAAAGCATTCAAAACAGAAAGATTTTATATAGTTTATATAAGTTCACATATTTATAATAAATATAATATATTTAAATATTAATAATATGTTTATTTATATATATAAATTTATAGATATAAATTTAACATTAATAAATAAACTTAAAACTTTTTTTTTAAAGTTATTACATTATTCATTAAAGTTAAAATTAAAAAATTTTTCTGTAAAAATACAAATAAATGTCTAAAAATGTAAAAGTTACAAACTATTCTAAAAAACTAACCTTCTTAGATTTTTTCATTGTAATTTTTGAAGAATTATGAAATCAAACTTTTTCAAAAAAAAAAAAGTTCTTATTTAAAATTTTTTTTTGAAATAAATCAATTAAAATACATCATTATACATCTGCAGCACAACACCATTCTGCATCTGCAGTTATTTTGTAATATAATATCTAATATATATATATATATATATATATATATATATATATATATATATATATATATATATATATATATATATATATATATATATATATATATATATATATATATATATTATATATATATATATATATATATATATATATATATATATATATATATATATATATATATATATATATATAAATATCCTTATATTTTAGAAACTTTTAATGTAAAAAAAGTCTCTTTCGACTACAATTTTGCTACTTCCACAATTAAGCTACATTTTTTTGTCGTCAAAATGTCAAAGCAATTAAATTTATGCGAAAGTACATTAAATTTTATTGCTTTTTAAAAAAACTGCAAAAATAATGACTAGAAAGTTTTTTTAATTAATGGTGTTTTTGTTGTTGTTTTATTTAAGTATATTTTTAAAACATGCGCAGAGTGTTGCTACATCGACTATCTTATAGCCTGACTTGCAATGGAGTGTTGCTACATCGACTATCTTATAGCCTGAATCGCAACGGAGTGTTGCTATATCGACTTACTAATAGCCTGACTCACAAGGGAGTGCTGCTACATCTTATGATAATAGCCTGACTTGCAAGGGGCTGCTGCTACATTGACTGACAAATAGCCTGGCTTGCAAGGGAGTACTACTACATCGACTGAGGGTTTGGTTAGGACATGCAGTCTATCATTTAATAAAAAAAAATTATTCAAGTTTTTAAACTATTTCTGGTCTGGTTATTAGCAATCTCTTTAAAACTACAAATTATGGGAAAAACATTTCAACTACCATGCAAGTCTATATATATATATATATATATATATATATATATATATATATATATATATATATATATATATATATATATATATATATATATATATATATATATATATATATATGTATATATATATATATATATATATATATATATATATATATATATATATATATATATATATATATATATATATATATATATATATATATATATATATATATATATATATATATTTAATTATCTTCGCTTCCAACAAGGCTGCAAGCAACCACTAATTAGTGTACTGGAAGAGAAAAGATGAAGATTGTAGAGCAAGATAACGATTGACAGACGACTTAAAAGATTGCAAATTGTATGAATCAGGAAAGCAAGATGAAGGAAGCGAATTCCAAAGAACTGATTTTCGAGTTAAAAAACTAGACAAATAAGAGTTTTTGGAGCACTTAGGAACAGTAACAGAAAAAGGATGAGACTTAATTGAATGACGAGTAACACGAGAATGAATTTTAGTAGATGGCACAAGAGACGCCAGCTCTTTCAAGCCGTGTCCATTATAGTATTTGTAGAAAAGAGAAAGAGAAGCAACATTACCACGATGTGACAGAGGTTGAAGGTTGGCTGCAAGAGCAGGTCCAACTATGTTTACAATGCGTTTTTGCACCTTGTCTAAAAGAGAAAGGGCATCATTAGAAGATCCGCCCCAGATATGGCAACAGTATTCCATACAAGGCCAGATTTTAGATTTATAGAGATAGAGAATAGAATCCAGAGTAAGAAAGTGACGAGCTCAATAAAGAGAAGCAACTTTGCAACAGATTTGATATAAGGTTTCCAAGAAAGATCAGAAGTAAAATTTAATCCTAGAAGATGAAGACTCATCGAGTACATTACCATTCATAAATATAGGAAGGTCTAAATTATTGCGATAACGATTGGCTGAAAAAAATTGAGTTTTATCTGAATTAAAGTTCACCAGCCACTGTGAGCCTCATGCTGTAGCAGAAGTGAGATCCTTTTCAAGCTCAAATGCCCCCTGCAAGCAATCAGAGGGAGTTGGCTTCTTATCATGACAAGAATAAATGGTAGTATCATCAGCGAACAATGCCACCTTCGATGTGAGAATATCTGGAAGATCGTTAATGTAAATTAAAAAGAGTATAGGGCCAAGGATTGAACCTTGGGGAACCCCTGAGGTTACAGAGTAAGAAGAAGAGTGCTGTCCATCAAGGACAACTTTTATACTACGATTGGAAAGAAAGGATTCAATAATCTTAAAGATGTTTCCAGATACACGGTAAGAAGAAAGCTTATGGAGAAGACCAGCATGCCTAACTTTATCAAACGCTTTAGAAATGTCAAGAGCAATGGCCTTAACCTCTCCACCTTTATCTAATGCGCGATAAAACCTATCAGTTATTACTGATAGCAAATCAGCTGTAAAGCGAGAAGATCGAAATCCATATTGATGATCAGAAAGTAGGTTATGAGATTCGAGATGAGAGATTAAGTGTTTGTTAATTAAAGATTCAAAAACCTTGCTTATGATAGGAAGAAGACAAATGGGACGGTAGTTGAATGAATCGGATCGCTCTCCAGAATTTTTAAAAATAGGGATAACAAATGGAAAACAAGACTCTGATAAGCACTTGTTAAATAGTTTTGAAAGGATAGACGACAGCTCCGGAGAACACTTCTGCAAGACTATAATGGGCATGTTGTCCGGGCCGCAAGCTGTAGAAGAGTCTAAGCAGGAAATCACTTTAGATAAAGAAGCTGGAGTGATACAGATGTCAAGCAGTGGATCATCCTGTTTGACGGATATATCAGGTAGAACGCAACTAGTGGAATCCAGAGATGATATTGATGAAAAGTTCTTGGCAAACAATTCAGCTTTGTCTTTAGGTGAGGTGACAAAGTCTGAACCGTACAAAAGAGGTGGAATTACAGACTTGCCCTTATTATTGATACTATTAAAGATTCTCCAGAAGTCACGAGAGCTTAATTTTTGTGATGAAATACGAGATTTCATGATCTGAGAATAGCGGGCTTTGGCGTTAGACAAAACCTTTTTACAATGGTTCCTAGCAGTAATAAACAGACGTCTGTTTTCTGGAGAATTGTTTTGCTGATAGATATGGAAATAATGGTTTCAATTGGCAATTGCAGCAGCACAATGCGAGGAAAACCATGGAGAAGAGTGAGGCTTGACCTGGAATTGTCAAGAGGGAATAAAGGATTCCATGCCAGCCTGAATCCACGAAGTTATGTAAGAAGCACATTTGTCAACAGGAAGACGAAAGATTTCTACCCAGGGACCATCACGAAGAAAATCACGGAAAAGGTCCCAGTCAGCTTTAAGGTAGTTGTAAGATGTACGATGATAGGGGGATTCTGATGGTAAAGAAGAATGAGATAATAGTTTTAGAGAGACCAAACCATGATCAGAAGCACCTAAGGGTGAGTGTGAAGAAACTGAGCACTGACTAGGATCAGAAACAAGACATAAGTCGAGTAGAGAAGATAAATGATTCGGGTTGTCTGGAAAGCGAGTTGGAAAGTTGACTATTTGAGTTAGGGATTGAGAAAGACAAAAGTTGTGGGCCTTAATGCCTGCAGAGTCACTGACACTAGAGCCAAGCCATTCAGTGTGATGAACATTAAAGTCACTGACAACAACAATATTGGCTGATGAATAAAGAATGAGGGCTTGGTCAATATAATCAGAAATAACATCAAGAAGAGTGCAGTCTTGAGATGAGGGAGAGCGATATAGAACAAAGAGAAAGGTGATAGAGTGAAGTGGTGCTAAACGAAAGCACATAAAAGAGTAGTCTGGATTCAAACCTAGTTTTCCGACAAATGGGTGAGTTCTTACGAATGTAAAGGCCTAGGCCAAGCATGTGACTATTGGAGTCTTTACGAATTAAAGGAATATAACCATCAACACTAAGATCACAAGATGAGACAGCTGAACTCAAATTAGTCTCACAAAGAGCAAGTAGGTCTGGTGAACTTTGCAAGAGATAAGACTCAACAGAAGAAAAGTTACTTCGAAGACCACGAATATTGGTGAATGATAGGTTTAGCGAACTTGGTGATGACTGTGGTTTTTTGTGTTTTATAGTTTTTGTTACTTATTCATTTTTAAATTTGTTAAAGAACTTGACTCGAAACATAGATAGTATTCAGTACACTGTTTTATAGCCCAAGCAATTGTCTCATTTCCACTAATAAACCCTAAGCCGTTACAAAGGGCTCCAATGTGGCCTCGGCAATGCCCACCAAAAGTACAAACAGGGACACCATCCATGTGCAACATGGCACTGTTAGTACTCTGATATTTTTCAGCTGTTGATGGAATCAGCCTCTCTGAGAGCTACCACAGAGTTCGGGAAACCTGACTACCAGCCGGCCTCAGAACCATAAAACTGAGTTTTAGAGCTGTACCCTCATTTGGAGATAATAGAATGAGTTGCCTAGTCATAAAAACAGAGACATAAGCAAAACCCATGCATCAAGTCAAGAAGATCTAGCGTTCAACATCTTAAACTGGAAACAATGTATTAAAAATACATTTGCGCCAGCCTAATAGATGGAGAAGGGGTGCGAGGCTGGTCAACAGATAGAATCTGTTTACCCCTTAAGTCTTTGCCTAGGAGGCCTTCTACAAGACAGCAGCCGGATGCATTTAACATCTGCCCAAGATGAGTATTTTTATCAAGACACCATCTCTAGCCTTTACTCAACCAAGAGCCCCAAGGCAGGGGGTGTTTTATGTCGGAGTTTGAATCCCCTAGCCTTTGCCTAAAAAGGCATATCCTACAAAGCAGCAGGACATGAAGCAGATTGTACCGGGTTACATGTTACCAGTAGCAGGATAAACCTGACCTGACCTGAAAAACTTGTATTGAAAAGTGTTCTGGTGAACACTTTGTAACACAATGACTCAAATATTGACCGCTGTAGAAGGAAATAGTTTAACAACTTAGGTTAAAACTGTTTTTTAGGGATGACAGGAAGAATGTGATAAAGTTTTGAAGTTTTAAGAGATAATTAAGTTTTATTATACTTTTTTTTCCTTTTAATATTCTATATTATTTTATTATTTATATTTTAATGTTACCTGAATTGAAAAAGTTAAAACATTTCTTTTTAATGTCAGATTTTATTTTATCTTAAACAAATGAAATCTTAAATTAAAGCTGTCCTGTTTTTTTAAACAATTTTTTAACCAAATAATTGGAATATTAAATTAAATTTCAGACCCTTTTTCTAACAAAATTTTGTGTGTTTAATATATATTAACACACACATATATATATACATGTACTTATATATATATATATATATATATATATATATATATATATATATATATATATATATATATATATATATATATATATAAATACATGTATATATATATATATATATATATATATATATATATATATATATATATATATATATATATATATATATATATATATATATATATATATATATATAATATATATATATATATATATATATATATATATAAATATATATATATATATATATATATATATATATATATATATATATATATATATATATATATATATAAATATATATGTATATATATATATATATATATATATATATATATATAAATATATATATATATATATATATATATATATATATATATGTATATATATATATATATATATATATATATATATAAAATATATATATATATATATATATATATATATATACATGTATTTATATATGTATATATTTAAACAGGCAGTGGGGTACCGCTGCCTAAATTATTCTCCTAGAATAGCCCCAGTATATATATATATATATATATATATATATATATATATATATATATATATATATATATATATATATATATATATATATATATATATATTTATATATATATATGTATATATATATATATATATATATATATATATATATATATATATATATATATATATATATATATATATATACATATATATGCAACAAATCAAATTAATTTTTTTAAATTGGTTTATAGAAAACACCAGGAAACAATATGCAAGAGGTTTTAACAATAAATCTCTATAACGATGGTTCAGGTTTAGGATTTGGTATTGTTGGTAGTAAAAAATCAGGTGTCATTGTGCGAAGTATTGTTCCAGGTAATTAAATTAGTTTCCACACTTTTAGTTATTTTGGTATTTTTATTAATTGTTTTTAGTTTATTCATCTGTAATTGCATGATTTGCGTTGATTTTTTTTTAACTAAAAAAATAACGGTGATCACTGGTTGATGAAACTACACTAAAATAGTCACAACTTCTGAATAAATGAGGTTATTTTAATTCTGTAAAAAGCCAATGATACAGCAATATTATTAATAATATATTAATAATTTCAACTCAGGCAGATGGTAGCAAAACAGCTTCCCTTTATATATAAACAGCATCCAATATTTTGTACACACTACTAATCAGAGTGTTCTTTTCAACTTTTTTTCTATCAATATTGGATTCTATTTTTTAACTCATCATTTGTACATGTTTTCCAGTTGTTTTTATAAATAAGTTTCTTCAAAATAGACCAAACATTGTAAAGTGGATGAAGTTCTGGAGCGCATGCAGAATTACTTTCCTTTTCAACAAAAATCTTCTTTTTTTGTTTGAATGAGAAAAAGTTAAATTAGATTCATCATCCTAAATGAAATTGTGACCAAGAAATTTTCTTTACATATAACTACAAAGAGGTTAAAGCTTTAACTTTCCCGATTGATCAGAAATCTGCTGCTCTTTGAGACAATCAATAACAGTCTTTTGTTGGATAGTTTCAACGATATGAGAATAACTGTAAATGAATTTGGCTGCCAATTTACTAGTTGCCAATTTACTAGTTGAAATCCCTGATCAGCGATCAATGTACTTTTTAATAAGTTTCAACTTTTTTTTTGATATAATTTTGGCTTTTCAACCTTGTCCTGAGCAATGACTAGATAGAAAACTACTTTCCCACATTAGAATATGTTGATACACTGTGGCATCTAAAGTCATTGAGAAAATCGGTGATTATTTTTGGATGCGATTTGCAGTATTTTTGGATGCGATTTGCATTTACTTTGGATGCATTTACTTTAGATGCATTTACTTTGGATGCATTTACTTTGAATGCATTTACTTTGAATGCGGTTTACTTTGGATGCGATTTGCAGTATACATATAATATCTAAAATAAAAATACAAAACCGTAAGAATATGAAACTTGGTGCTCAAGTGAGATTTTGAGACTTGGAGAAAAAAAGACTGACGACACCAGTTGTATTTAAAAAAGGCTGACCACACAAGTCATATTTAAAAAAAAGGTACCTATTCAAAAATTATGAGCTGTCAAACTTAGTCTCATTAATTAATGATCAACTGTTAAAATTTAAAACTTAAAACACTTTAATACTTAAAACACTTTTTTTTGATAAACTCATAATTTTGAAAGCTTTATGAATTAATATATGGTTAGAGTTTTGAGATTTAATAAACATGAAACTCATAATGTTGAAAGCAATTTGCAGTATTTGTACACACGCTCGATAAAAACTCATTTTTTCTACTTTTAATATCTAAAATAAAAATAAAAAACAGTGAGTATATGAGACTTGGTGCTCAAAGAGAGAAATAGATTGACCACACAAGTTGTGTTTAAAAACCCATTCAAAAGTTATGAGCTGTCAAACTTAGTTAATGATCATTAAAACAAAATTTTTTTGACAAACAAAGCTCATAATATTAAAAGCACTGCATTATAAATTATTTTATGGTAAAAGTTTTGAGATTCATATTAATTTTTTTATTTTAAAATTAAAATAGTTAAACATAATCAAATAATCATAAATAATAATAGTTATTTCTCTTCTGCTTAAACAAATCTTTTAATTTTAGGTGGAGTAGCTGATCGTGATGGTCACTTAAGGAGTGGAGATCAGATATTACAAATAAATAATGAGAGTTTCACAGGGTTAGGAAGTGATAATGTTGCAAACATAATTCGAAAAGCTGGTAAACATGTTAAGCTTGTGATAGCTAGAGATATGAGGGAAGAAGAGGAGTCACAAGACCTAGTGAGAATTTCGTTCTAAATTATGTTAATAAACCTTTTTTTTTGGTATCTCACATTAGCAGGTTTTCAGTGTATTTCAAAGTTTTATTAGATTTATTTGTTTTATATGGTTCTAGTCAGATGAGAAAACAATGTGGAGAGATATGGAGACATTTGAAATTCAACTTCTTAAAAATGAAAAAGGATTAGGTATTCAAATAGCAGTATATGTTGATAATGGTGTTGCATCAGGTGAGATTTCAAACATAATTTATTATTCTATATTCTTTTTTATGTACAGTCAATATTGCAATTTTTTTTTAAGGCTCATTTGTCATCGCAAAAATAACAAGTTTGTAAAAAAAAACTACAAATTAATTTTTTTTTTCGCTACTGGAAAATGTACAAATATTTTTTTTAACTCCTGAAAATTGTATAAACCTTTCTCTTAACACCTTGCATGAGCTTTGCACAAAAGCTCATGCAAGGTGTTAAAAGTTACTTTTTTTTCAAATAACTTTCCATTTTTGAATAAATCTACTGCTTACCAAGTAGATTTACCCATAATACTACAATATTCATTTGCACTTTATCTAGTATATCAACAGGGCAATTATTGGGGACAATTTAGGGGACTTTTTTCAAAAAATAAAATTCTATTTAATTAGTAACATAAAGTCTTTTGATGAATGTGATTAAATTTATCTTCTCTATCTCCACTATTTTTAGCAATTTATCTTCTCCATCTCCTCTATTTTTACCAATTTATCTTCTCCATCTCCACTATTTTTAACAATTTAAAATTTTTCAATTTGATTAAAATTAAATTATATTTCCTTTTTTACTACAATGAAATAAAATTACAATAAAATATAGATGAAAATATGTTTCTTACCTAAGATTCTGAGACCATGTACCTTTCAGCTATTTCTTTGTTGATGAAATAAAATATAGATGAAAAAATGTTTCTTACCTAAGATTCTGAGACCATGTACCTTTCAGCTATTTCTTACCTAAGATTCTGAGACCATGTACCTTTCAGCTATTTCTTTGTTGATGAAATAAAATATAGATGAAAATATGTTTCTTACCTAAGATTCTGAGACCATGTACCTTTCAGCTATTTCTTACCTAAGATTCTGAGACCATGTACCTTTCAGCTATTTCTTTGTTGATGAAATAAATAAGCAGATTACTTTTATATTCTAAATTTTTAATTTTTTTTTCAAAGTTACTTAAAAGTTATTAGTGGTACAAATTAACTTTTTTTACTTAAAGCATAGATTTTGCTAAAATTTTTGAATGATACCTTAATTAATTTTAGTTTTAATTTATATATAAATTTATTTTATTTATAAAAATTTGTAAAAACTATCAAATTAGTTAATTTTTTTTTTTTTTTCTTTAGTTTACAATTATTATTTGTAGTATAACAATATAACAATATATAAACTTGAACCATATAAAATATATCATATGTGTATATATAATAAAATAAAAGTACAACTGATCTAATAACTATTAACAATGTAGAAGAAACAAAAACTGAAAATAATTTTACAAATTATCAAGAGTTAAAAAAAGAATTTTACATTTCAAAAATATTTATGTATATTGCCAGTAGAAAGAATATAGTTTTTTCATTTTGTTTTAAAAATGGAAAACGAAATTGACATTTCAAAATTTGGAACAACAATTTTGTTCCATAAATACGGTGCTCGATAGTTTATGCAAAATTGATTAAACTTTATTTGACCAAAGATTTCAATTAATAAATTATTATTTCGTAAAGTATATTTGTTTATAGCTTTATGGGTAAAAAGATTTTTAAAAATGAACAATGGTTGTTCACTTTTACAACGAAACATAAAATATTATAGACATTGAGTTTGTAAACGTCAAGTGCTTTAACGTTTTTAAATGTAATATTTGAATGAGAAAAACGATTCTCAAAACATATTAAACGCATTGCGTGTTTCTGACGGTGGTAGAGGTTTCGTAACTTACTTTTAGAGGTACTTCCCCAAACAATATTTTCATAATTTATATAGCTATGAAAAAATGAATTGTAGAGTTGAAATAAATTTTGTTTACTTTGATAGTATCTGACCTTATATAGAATTCCAATACTTTCGGCCAATTTATTAGAAATACTAAATCTCGATATGATACTTCCATGTAATATTTTCATAAATGTAAATGTCTAAAAATCTTGTGACTGACTCCTTATTTATTTCAATTTTATCAATAAAAAATTTAGGTAAATTATTTGGTAAAAAACCCTTTTATGTGAGGGAGTGGAAAAGGATCCATTTTGTTTTTAAAATTTTTAAAGTTAACTTGTTGCACTTAAACCAGTTGGAGATGTGGTTGAGTTCTTTTTCATACTTGAAAAAAGCTCATAAATGTCACTGTTTGACAGAAATAAATTAGTATCGTCTGCAAAAATGATACTCATAAGGTTAGAAGCTTTATTTAAATCATTTATATAGATTAAAAACAAAAGTGGGCCTAGAATAGAACCCTGTGGAACACCACATTTTATGTCAATTAGTTTTTCATTTTGAAAATAATCTCCATAGAAAACAAATTGTTTTCTATTTTTCAAGTAACTTTTATACCATTTTATTAATTTGCCATTAATTCCGTAAAATTTGAGTTTTTTAAGTAGAATTTTGTGATCGACCTGCTTTTTTTGTCGAATGCTTTTAATAGGTCAATGAAAATACTTAATGTGTATTGTGATCTACCAAATGAATTAAAGATTTCACGAATGAACTGTGTAATAGCTTGTTCAGTTGAACAATTTTTTTAAAAACTGAATTGATTTTTATATAGAAGTTTATTTAGATTAAGGTAATTGTATGTTCTATTATATATAATTCTTTCTAAAATTTTTGAGAAAGTTGAAAGAACTGAGATAGGGCGATAATTACTAATATTTGATTTTTTTCCATTTTTGTATATAGGAGTTACCTTAGCTATTTTTAATTGGTCGGGAAATACACCTTGCTGTATAGATGCCCTAAAGACTTTATAAAGAATACATTTTAAGTTTTCAAAGCAATCTATGACTATGTTGCCTTTTATTTCGTCCGCACCCGTAGCTTTGTTTCTTTTGAGAGATTTGTAGGCTCTCTCAAACTCATCAAAAGATAAGTCAGAATGTAAATTATCTATAAAAAGCGAATTATTTATAGGCTCTAGGAAATCACTAAAATTTTTTTCCATAATAGGGATCTTGTTTGCCAATTTAGTTCCTATATCAATGAAATATTTATTAAACTTGTTTCAATTCCGTTTGGTTCATGTATATTTGTTTTATTTATTTAAATTACTTTAAGAAAAGAGTTTGAATTTGTTTTTTGTTTTCCTGTTATTTCTTTCAACGTTCTCCAAGTATTTTTTTGTTTTTAAATTTACTAATTAAACTTGAATAATAATTTTTTTTTAATTTTTTATGAATTTTTTCAAATAAATGTTGGTAATTTTTATATTTTTGTTGGTTTTCATTTGATTTTGTTTTTAAATATTTTATATATAGTTTCTGTTTGATTTTAGAGGATTTTAAGTCTTTTGGTAATCCTTGGACTATTTAAGGTTTTTATTTTTGTTATTTTTTCACAAAGTGGAATGTTTGCATCGTATATTGAGAAGAACGTATCAAAGAATTTATTATATATTGTATTTGCGTCTTCATTAAAGTTAATATGTTTCCAATGCAGAAGTGATAATTGATATTGGAAGGGTTTTATA